GTCAGCTGGGCGTGGTGGCACACGCCTGTGGTCCCAGCTACTCAGGGGGCTGAGGTGAGAGGCTCACTTTGAGCCCAGGAGGCTGAGGCTGCAGTGAGCCACGATCACACCATTGTACTCCAGCCTGGGCAACAGAGCAAGACCGTGTCTCAAAAAAACAATCAAAACAAGAAATTATAAAATCTAAATAAAGAACTCACTAGAGGGACTAGACAGCAAAGCAATAGAAGCTGCAAAGAACTTAGGTGAAAGACATATATCAATTTCAGAAGGTAACAGTAAGATAAAAGCATGGAAAATATTAACATTTTAGAATAAAAAAACAAAAAAACTTTAACATTTTATGGTGGATAAAAGTAGAAATGGTAACAGCTGTAAAGCAACAGACTCATAGAAAAGACAGAAGGGAAGAAATATTTGGAATAAATAATGACTACATTTTACAAAGATCAAACGAAAAAGGTAAGACTCCAAATAAAAGGGCTTGTGTGTGTTTGCCACAGCTGCTGTGACACCAGGCCACAAACTGAGTGGCTTAAACAATCCAAATGTATAGCCTCACAGCTGCTGAGGCCACAAGTTCAACAAGATCAAGGCATCCACACGGTTGGTTCTTTTTAAATTCTTTTTATTTTTATTTTGAGACAGAGTCTGCCTCTGTCACCCAGGCTATAGTGCAGTGGCGTGATCTCAGCTCACTGCAACCTCCGCTTCCCACATTCAAGCGATTTTCCTGAGTAGCTCAGACTATATGGTATGCCACCACGGCCCGTTAATTTTTGTATTTTTAGTAGAGATGGGGTTTCACCATGTTAGCCAGGCTGCTCTCAAACTCCCAGCCTCAAGTGATCTGCCGTCTCAGCCTCCCAAAGTGCTGGAATTACCGGCATGAGCCTCTGTGCCCAGCCAAAGGTTGCTTCCTTCTGCGGGTCAAGAGGAATGAATCTGTCCCACACCTCTCTCCTTCCTTCTGGTGGTTTGCTTACAATCTTTGGCATTCCTTGGTTTCTGCGGCATCACCCCAATCCCTGCCTTCATCTTCACAGGGTGTTCTCTGGGGTGCATGTCTGTATCCAAATGTCCCCCTTTTTTGTTATTTATTTTATTTATTTATTTATTTTTGAGACAGAGTCCTGCTCTGTCACCCAAGCTGGAGTGCAAGGGCACGATCTCAGCTCACTACAACCTCTGCCTCCCAGGTTCGAGTGATTCTCCTGCCTCAGTCTCCTGAGTAGCTGGGATTACAGGTGTGCACGACTACGCCTGGCTAATTTTTGTATTTTTAGTAGAGATGGGATTTCACCATGTTGGCCAGGCTGGTCTCGAACTCCTGACCTCAGGTGTCCACCTCCCTCGGCCTCCCAAAGTGCTAGGATTACAGGCGTGAGCCACTGCACCTGGCCTATTTATCTATTTTTAAGAAAAGATCTCACTCTCTTGCCCAGATTAGAGTGCAGTAGCGTGATCATAGCTCACTGTAAGCATAAACTGCTGGGGCTCGAGCAGTCTTCCCACCTCAGCCTCCCGAGTAGCTGGGACTACAGGTGCATGTCGCCCATGCATGGCTAACTTTTGTATTTGTTTGTTTGTTTTTTGTTTTGTTTGAGATGGAGTTTCTTTCACCCAGGCTGGAATGAAGTGGCTAGATCTCAGCTCACTGCAACCTCTGCCCCCGCCCAGGGATTCAAATAACTCTTCTGCCTCAGCCTCTGAGTAGCTGTGATTATAGGCATCCACCCCCAAGCCAAGCTAATTTTTGTATTTTTAGTAGAGACGAAGTTTCGCTATATTGGCCAGGCTAATCTCGAACTCCTGACCTCAGGTGATCCACTGGCCTCTGCTTTTTAAAGTGCTGGGATTATGGGTGTGAGCCATCGCACCTGGCCTGTATTTTTTGTTGAGATGAGGTCTCGTTATGTTGTCCAGGTTGGTCTTCAAATACTAGCCTCAAGCAATCCTCCCACCTCAGCTTCCCGAGTAGCTGGGACTACAGGTATATGTCACTACGCGTGGCTAATTTTTGTAATTTTTGTAGAGCTAAGTTCTCGCTAAGTTGCCCAGCTTGGTCACCAAATACTGGCCTCAAGCAATCTACCCACCTCCCACAGCGTTGTGATTACAGGTGAGAGCCACTGCACCTGGCCTCAAATTTCCCCTTTATTTATTTATTTATTTATTATTATTTTTGAGACGGAGCCTTACTCTGTCACCCAGGAGTACAATGGCGCGATCTCTGCTCACTGCAACCTCCACCTCCTAAGTTCAAGTGATTCTCCTGCCTCAGCCTCCCAAGTGGCTGGGATTACAGGTGCCCACCGCCACACCCAGCTAATTTTTGTAATTTTAGTAGAGACAGGATTTCACCAGGTTGGCCAGGCTGGTCTTGAGCTCCTGACAGGTGATCCACCCGCCTCGGCCTACCAAAGTGCTGGGATTACAAGCATGAGCCACCACACCAAATTTCCCCTTTTTATAAGGACACCAGTCATATTGGAGTAGGGACCCGCTCTCTTCCAGTATCATCTCATCTTAACTAATTACACCTGCAACAACCCTAGTTTCCAAATACAGTCACATTCTGAGGTACTGCGAGTAGAAATTCAACATATCTTTTTGGAAGAACACAATTCAACCCAAAACAGCTGGTAGAAAAATGTAGAATATTGTTATGGCTTTGGAGTGAGCAAAAATTCTTCAACCCAGAAGACCATATGGTGAAAATGTGACAGGCTTGACTATATTAAATTTAAACATTTCTTCCAAACAAGGACATCAGGACATCATTGAAAAAGTTAACACAGCTGGGCGAGGTGGCGCATGCCTGTAATCCTAGCACTTTGAGAGGCCAATATGACTTCAAGTCAGGAATAGCTCCTGCCTGTAATCCCAGCACCAGCCTGGTCAACACGGTGAAACTCAGTCTCTACCAAAAATACAAAAATTAGCCGGGTGGGCTCACATCTGTAATCCCAGCTACTAGGGAGGCTGAGGCAGGAGAATCACTTGAACCTAGGATGCAGAGGTTGCCACTCAACTATGTAATGAGTTGGGGAGCTTTTTGTGCGTGTGAGAGAACACTTAAAACCTATCCTTGGCGGGGCACAGTGGCTCACGCCTGTAATCCCAGCACTTTGGGAAGCCAAGGCGGGTGGATCATGAGGTCAGGAGTTCAAGATCATCCTGGCTAACACAGTGAAACCCCATCTCTACTGAAAATACAAAAATTAGCTGGGCATGGCGGCACGTGCCTGTAGTCCTAGCTACTGGGGTGGGAGAGAGAATCGCTTGAACCTGGGAGGCAGGAGAATTGCTTGAGCCTGGGAGGCGGGAGAATCGCTTGAACCTGGAAGGCGGGAGAATCGCTTGAACCTGGCAGCAGGTGAATCACTTGAACCTGGGAGGTGGAGGTTGCAGTGAGCCAAGATGACTCCATTGCAGTCCAGCCTGGGTGACAGAGCGAGACTCATTCTCAAAAAAAAAAAAAAAAAAAAAAAATCCCAGCCATAAATAAATCAGTAAAATCAATGAAGTCCCAGTGAGTGAACTGAAAAAAGCATGTACCAAAACATCCTGGGAGAAAATTATGCCTATGTCTTGCCTTGTTGTCCAGGCCGGAGTGCAGTGGTGAGATCTCAACTCACTACAATCTCCGCCTTCTGGGCTCAAGCGATTCTCCTGCCTCAGCCTCCCTAGTAGCTGGGATTACAGGAGCGCACCACCACGCCCGGCTTTTTTTTTTTTTTTTTTTTTGGTGGAGATGGGGGTTTCACCATGTTGGTCAGGCTGGTCTGGAACTCCTGACCTCGTGATGCGCCCTCCTCGGTCTCCCAAAGTGCTGAGATTACAGGCAGGAGCCATTGCACCCGGCCTGGGTTGTTAATTTTTAAAACTGCCTTTCATTCTTGCTTTGCCATTTATAGTTCTGTAGCCTTGCACAAATGACTTCACTTCTCTATGAGTCATCTGTAAAATGGGGCTCTTTGTGAAGACTTAACGATACCACGTGTGCAATGCACTTAACACAACATGCACATTACGCTCCCCAGACCGAAACTCCTATAAATTAGGGATGGGGGATTCTCGAGAGCAGGAGTTCTGACTTCAGCAGAGGAACCCAGAGCTGGTGGAGAAAGCAGATGTGGCTGTGACATTGACATTTACATCCCCAAGGACAGTAAACACATTCTTCCAGCCCCGTCTTCCCCGCAGGGTCCCGCTACCAGCCTGACCCCTAGCTTTCTTGGAGCCACGAGCGGACGCCGGCAGCCAGCAGTTTGGGGGCCGCCCCCTGCAGCAGAGGTCCCCACGCGGACTACATTTCCCGGCTTGCATCTCGGCTCGGGGCCCGCGGGGCAGTCCTGCCTCAGGAACCGGGTCGAGGCTGCGTTCGCAGGCTCCGGGCAGTTACCGTAATGCATGCAGCTCCTATTTTTCGCGTTGCTAAACGCGTCCGTTGCGATCCACCCAACTCTGGGCGGCGGCCCCTGCAGGGTCAGTAAGGAGCGCTTCCCCCCGCCCCGGGCACCCGCTACGCCGCATTGGAAGGAGGGGCCGAGGCCGGGATCATCTCCTCAGGAGGACTCCCTCGACCCCTCGGGGTGTCCACTGCGGCCCGAGGCTGGCAGCGGTTCTCTGCTTGGGGGCGCTGAGGGCTGGGCCCCGAGGCTGCGCGGCCCGAGACTACAACTCCCAGGCGGCACCGCGGCGGCGTCGACCACACGTCACTCGGGCCCCGCCGGCGGCCCCGGGAAGCAGCACGGGCGGGGGTAGGGGCTGGGGCCGACCGGGAGGCCGGTGCCAAGAATGGGGGCTGCCCGACCGCCTCACGCGTGAGGAGGCCGAGGGGCGCGCCACCCCAGCCCGGGGCGGCCGCCCCCGGGGCCCCGCCACCCCCGCCTGGCCCGGCGGTCGTGGTCCGGGATGCGGAGCCGGGGGCCGCCGGTGGAGCTGCGCGGGGTGAGCGGCGCGGGGAACGGGGACTGCCTGCCGCCCTCGCCCTCGTCTCCCACCGGCGGACCCCGGTGGGCATTCGAGTGTCGCGCGGCCAGGCCTTCTTAGCGCCCTGCCGTTTGGAGGGCACAGGTGAACCTGCCGCCTCACTCCCACCCTGCCCCGCCCGGACAGCCGAATCGGAGGGGACGAGCCTGCCCTTTGAAAGGGTTTTTTTCTTGCTCCTGAGGAGGGCGTCCCAGCCATGGCCCCCAGAAACCCCCTAGACCCCACAGGGACTGCCCTCCATCCCGGCCGCCGGGGTCTGCCCTCTGCATCCCGCGGGCAGGCGGTGTGAAGCAGCCTCCCGCAGCCCCCGGCCCCTCCCCCATGGAGGAGGAGGAGGGGGCGGCGGCCAAGGAGTGGGGCACGACCCCCGCGGGGCCCGTCTGGACCGCGGTATTCGACTACGAGGCGGCGGGCGACGAGGAGCTGACCCTGCGGAGGGGCGACCGCGTCCAGGTGCTTTCCCAAGACTGTGCGGTCTCCGGCGACGAGGGCTGGTGGACCGGGCAGCTCCCCAGCGGTCGCGTGGGCGTCTTCCCCAGCAACTACGTGGCCCCCGGCGCCCCCGCTACACCCGCGGGCCTCCAGCTGCCCCAGGAGATCCCCTTCCACGAGCTGCAGCTAGAAGAAATCATCGGTGTGGGGGGCTTTGGCAAGGTCTATCGGGCCCTGTGGCGTGGTGAGGAGGTGGCCGTCAAGGCCGCCCGGCTGGACCCTGAGAAGGACCCGGCAGTGACAGCAGAGCAGGTGTGCCAGGAAGCCCGGCTCTTTGGAGCCCTGAAGCACCCCAACATCATTGCCCTTAGGGGTGCCTGCCTCAAACCCCCACACCTCTGCCTGGTGATGGAGTATGCCCGGGGTGGCGCACTGAGCAGGGTGCTGGCAGGCCGCCGGGTGCCACCTCACGTGCTGGTCAACTGGGCTGTGCAGGTGGCCCGGGGCATGAACTACCTACACAGTGATGCCCCTGTGCCCATCATCCACCGTGACCTCAAGTCCATCAACAGTAAGTGGTGTCCTCTCCCCAAAATTCCTTCCACAGAACCTCACGAGGCCATGCCTAGGTGACGGGAAACAGGTTGAGGGACACCAGGTGACACTGTGCCTGGGGCGAGAAGGGGGCAGCAGTATGATACCTTTAGGGTGAAGGTGAGGTAGGCCTTGCCCACCTTAAGGGAGAAAAAGGAGTTTCAGAAAGATTGAAGGACTTGACTGCCTCCCAGGCTGCAGAGTCACAGTTGCTCAGTAAACATGTATCCGTGAACACCTGCGTTCCCTGTGTCAACAGCACAGATGCAGTGCCTGCCTTCAAGGTTCTCACCATCCAGCCATGCTGCCAGAGGCCGCCAGGCAGAGATAAAAAGAGCCTACCCCGTCTGAAGCCAGTGTCTCAACCCCGGACTGTTGGCACTTGAGGCTGGATCATTGTTATAGGAGCTGTCCTGTGAATTGAAAGTTGCTTAGCAGCATCTTTGGCCTCTTCCCGCTAGATGCCATTAACATTCCCTGCCCCCATCCTCAGCTATGACAACCAAAAATGTCTCTGGGCATTGCAAATGTCCCCTGGGGGCAGAATCACCCCCAATTGAGAACCATTTCCTGGAGTCTTCATAGGCCAAGGCAAACTGGAAAAGATGAGGGAGGAATTGAACGGATATGGCTATATAAAAGCTTCCAGGCTGCCTGTCAGGCTCTCCAAAGTTGATTCGTTGGTTGAATAAATAATGGGGCCAGGTAGAAGGGAACATTCTACAGGACTCATATCTAGATCAAGGAGCTTCTTGTGGCGTCAGCAAATATTAATTGAGCACCTATTAAGCAGAAGCCCAACTGGGACTAAGACAGCCATGGTTTCTGCCCTGACGGTACTCACGAGCTAGTAATTTCATTCATTCATTCCACAGATATTTCCAGAGTGCTGTGCCAGGCCCTGTCCCAGGGATACAGCAAGGAAAAAATCTTACATTCCTGGCTCTCCCATTCGTGCTCTGCCTTATCTCACTCCCTTTCATTTTTTCATTCATTTGTTCATTCTTCCATTTGATGTTTACCAGGCCAGATCATGTGCTAAGCAAAGGCATCAGGAGTGGAGGAGACCAGCATGTCCCCGGCCCTCGCATCACTCACACTTAAGCCCTGAAATATGAGGGTGCCCCCTTTGCTCTCAACACTCACATCTTATCCTGATTTTTGTCACTTCTACATCTTGAAATTTATTTTAATCCATCCCACTATTTTTATAGATGTATTGCTGTCCCCCCACCCATAGCAATGGTAAGCCCCTAGAATAGAGGGACTGCATCCTTCTTGCCTTCCAAGCCTAACATTTGTATATCAACAGAGAGCTTGGCTGGGCATGGTGGCTCACGCATATAATCCCAGCACTTTGGGAGGCCAAGGTGGGTGTCTCACCTGAGGTCAGGAATTTGAGACCAGCCTGACCAATATGGTGAAACCCCCATTTCTACTAAAAATACAAAAAGTAGCTGGGCATGGGGGCATGCATCTGTAATCCCAGCTACTCAGAGGCTGAGACAGGAGAATTGCTTCAACCCGGGAGGTTGCAGTGAACCGAGATCACGCCACTGCACTCAGCCTGGGTGACAGAGCAAGACTCCATCTCAAAAAAAAAGAAAGAGCTAACACATGCCCACATGTGCCAGGGCTGGTGCCACATCTGGGGAACTGATGCTTATGCCCCAGCACCTCTGAAAGGTTGAGTAAATGGAGGCAGGGCCACCCAGCATGTTCCTTTTGAAGGCTGGGGCTCCTTCTCAGCCCTTCCTCACCCCTGCTGATTGACAGCATGCCCCACACCCCCAGGGTTATTGTAGCCAGTGCTTTCTAGCCAAAGGGTCAGCGGCCTCTTATGGCCAGGGCTTCCTCCTGGTGTGCCGGAGAGAGAGGACACAGTGCCTCCACAGCACTGCTTCCCCACTCATCCTACCCTAAGGAGGTCCTCATCTGCCATTATTCATGCATTGGTTCATTCCACCAGTAATTCTTTTTTTTTTTTTTTTGAGATGGAGTCTCACTCTGTCACCCAGGCTGGAGTGTAGTTGTGCAGGTCTTGGCTCACTGCAACCTCCATGTCCTGGGTTCAATGATTCTCCTGTCTCAGCATCCCGAGTAACTAGGATTACAGATACCCACCACCACACCCAGATAATTTTTGTATTTTTAGTAGAGAGGGGGTTTCACCATGTTGGCCAGGCTTGTCTTGAACTCCTGACCTCATGATCCGCCCGCCTCGGCCTCCCAAAGTGCTGGGATTACAGGCGTGAGCCACCGCACCTGGCCAATAACAGCTAACACTTTCAAAGGCCCTATTGCATGAGGCAATAAATTTTTACCGCAATGCTAGAAGGTAAATTCTGTTACCAGCCCCATTTAATAGAGAAGTCTGGGTGTGAAGATTAAAGTGTTCAAGGTTATGCAGCTAGGAAGAGGCAGAGCTGAGGCTCAAACCCAGGTGGTACATGGAATACTTTGGGACCTCTGTGTGATAGAAGGTAGTAAATAACCCCAGCAGTTAAGAGATTGGGCTCTGATCACAAAACTAGTTCAAACCTTTGTCCTGCCATCTTCTAGCTGTGTGATCTCTTAGCCAAGTGACTTCTGAGCCTCTGCTGGCTGGTCTAGAAAAATGGTTATAGCTGGGTGCAATGGTTTACTCCTATAATCCCAGCACTTTGGGAGGCCAAGGCTGGAGGATTGCTTGAGCCCAGGAGTTTGAGGCTACAGCAAGCCATAATCACACCACTGCACTCTAGCTTGAGTAACAGAAAAAGACCCTGTTCCTTTATTTATTTATTTTTTTCATTAAGACGAGTCTCACTCTGTCACCCAGGCTGGAGTACAGTGGCACAATCTCGGCTCATTGCAATCTCCACCTTCTGGGTTCAAGTGATCCTCTCACCTCAGCCTCCCAAGTGGCTGGGACTACAGGCACCCACCACCACACCTGGCTAATTGTTGCATTTTTAGTAGAGACAGGATTTCACCATGTTGGCCAGGCTGGTCTCAAACTCCTGATCTCAAATGATCCACCCGCCTCAGCCTCCCAAAGTGCTGGAATTACAGGCATGTGCTACTGTGCCTGGCCAACCCTGTCTCCTTAAAAAGGGAGGGGTGGTTTGTGAGTCAATTCATATAAAGAGCTTAGCATAGTGCAGACACTAGCCATGATCCTCATCGCTGCTAGTGACCACCTGCAGGCAGTAAGGAAGCTGGAACCATCCAATATGTTTGCGGAATACATCAGTCAGATTTTGTCACAATAATGCCATGTAATAAGCTACCCCCAAAACTCGGCATCTTAAAACAACTGTTGTTGGTTGCTGCTCGTGCATTTGCAGGCCAGCTGGAGGGTGAACTGATGGACACTGGGCTCGGCTGGAGAGGCCTTGCTCCAAGTAGTTCTCGTCTTCTCGGACAAGGCAGACTAGCTGAGGCATGTTGTCATGGTGATGGCAAAAGTACAAGAGGGCCAGCAGACGTGCGAGGCTGGGGCTTGGAACTGACCCTGTCGTTCTTAGCCAAAGCGAGTCATGCGGCTGAGCCAGAGTCAGGGTGCAGGAACATGCTCTGCCTTTTTTTTTTTTTTTTTTTTTTGAGATGGAGTCTCACTCTGTCACCCAGGCTGGAGTGCAGTGGCATGATCTCGGCTCACTGCAACCTCCGCCTCCCAGGTTGAAGCAGTTCTCATGCCTCAGGCTCCCCGTTGCCCAGGCTGGAGTGCAGTGGTGAGAACATGGCTCACTGCACCCTCAACCTCCCAGTCTCAAGTGATCCTCCCAACTCAGCCTCCCAAGTAGCTGGGACTGTTGGCACACACCCCCACACCCAGCTATTTTTTTTTTATTTTTTGTAGAGATGGGGTCTTGCTATGTTGCACAGGCTGGTCTTGAACTCCTGGGCTCAAGTGACCCACCTCAGCCTTGGCTGTTGGTTCTTGACCATTCATGGTGCTCCACAGAGCCCAGGACAAAGTCAGGAGGGCAGAGGATGCAGAAGGAGCTCCCTCCTCCCTCGTGGGAGCCTGGGACAGGGATTAGACCTGGGTGGAGGGGCTCATGGATGTTCCAGGCCAGGAAAGGAGCTGTCACAGAGTGGGGCATCCTGAGGCAGTGAGAGGAGAAATGTGTTTCCAGCTGAGGCAGCGGGCCAGGACACTTGGGTCTGCAGCACAGCAGGTCTAAGGTGACCCACCTTTCTTCCCATCCCACAGTCCTGATCCTGGAGGCTATCGAGAACCACAACCTTGCAGACACGGTGCTCAAGATCACGGACTTTGGCCTCGCCCGTGAGTGGCACAAGACCACCAAGATGAGCGCTGCGGGGACCTACGCCTGGATGGCGCCGGAGGTTATCCGTCTCTCCCTCTTCTCCAAAAGCAGTGATGTCTGGAGGTGCTGAAAGGCGTGGCCGGGTTGGCCTCTGCGGAGTGAGGGAGGGAGGAAGGGGTGAGGGCAGAGTGGGCGGGAGAGTCTCCTGCTAAAGCCAGGACCTAGGTCTGACAGAGGGGCCTGCAAGGTCAAGCCACCAGACAAGTGCCGGTTACCCGTTCAGCTAGCACAGTGGCAATTGGAGGGCACATTGGATTAGAATAAAAAATTCATAAGATCTAGAGACAGGGCTGGGTGTGGTGGCTCATGCCTGTAATCCCAGCACTTTGGAAAGCTGAGGCTGGCAGATCACGAGGTCGGGAGTTTGAGACCAGCCTGACCAACATGGTGAAACCCTGGCTTTACTAAAAATATAAAAATTAGCTGGGCATGGTAATGCATGACTGTAATCCCAGCTACTCAGGAGGCTGAGGCAGGAAAATCAGTTGAACCCGGGAGGTGGATGTTGCAGTGAGCCGAGATCATGACACTGCACTCCAGCCTGAGTGACAGGAAGACTCTGTCTTCAAAAAAAGAAAAAATTTAAAAAGACCTAGAGACAGCATGTGGATGCCAGCACTGAAAGTCCCTCATACATGAGCCAGTGCACCGTCCCATCTGTCAGACAGGAAAATGATGAATTCACTCATTCATTCATCTAACTTCACCAGTTCTAGGGATATAGCAGCAAACAAAAATAGATGCAATCCCTGCCCTCAGGAAGTAAATAAATACATGAGAAGCTCTTTTTTAAAAATCTGTTTTTTAGAAAATTATAATTTTTAAAGATAATTAAGTACACCAGAAAAAAAAAGTGTTAGTAGGAAGTGCTGGGAGGTTGAGAGGAAGGTACTTTAGTGGCTGGAGGACTACTTTTGGGATGGGAATGCTTCTCGGAGCAGTCTGAGAAATGATACTTCATCTGAGTTCTGAGTGGCAAAAAGGAGCTAGCCACAAGAAGTTTGGGGGAAGAAGCATCCCAGTCAGGGGGAGCAGCTACCCAAAAGGAGGGGCTGAGGTGAGCGTGGTGTGTTCCAGAAACAGCAGCAAGGCGTATGTGGCTGCCACTGTGCCAGCAAGGAAGAGAGAGGAAGGAAATGATGTAGGAGAGTGAGCTGGAAGGCCCTGGGGGTGAGGGAGTGGCCTTCAGGTTTTATTCTAATGAAGTAGGAAGCCTTGAGGAGTCATGTCTGTGAATGGCGTGGTAGCCCACACCTGTAATCCCAGTACTTTGGGAGGCCAAGGTGGGAGGATCACTTGAGGCCAGGAATTTGAGACCAGCTTGGTCAACATATGGAGATGCCATGTATGAAAAAGAAATTTTTTGATTAATTTTTTTTAAAAGGAAGTAAATAAAAGCTGCTTTGGGGGCCGAGTGCACTGGCTCACGCCTGTAATCCCAGCACTTTGGGAGGCTGAGGTGGGTGGATCTCTTAAGGCCAGGAGTTTGAGACCAGCCTGGTCAACATGGTGAAATCTCATCTCTACTAAAAATACAAAAATTCAGCTGGGCACAGTGGCTCATGCCTGTAATCCTGGCACTTTGGGAGGCCACGGCAGGCAGATCACAAGGTCAGGAGATCAAGATCATCCTGACCAATGTTGTGAAACCGCGTCTCTATTTAAAAATACAAAAATTAGCCAGGCGTGGGAGCGCACACCTGTAATCCCAGCTACTCAGGAGGCTGAGGCAGAAGAATTGCGTGAACCCATGTGCCATGGTGGTGTGCTGCACCCATCAACCTGTAAGTGAGCCATAATGGTGCTACTGCACTCCAGCCTGGGTGACAGAGTGAGATTCCATCTCAAGAGAGAGAGAGAGAGCTTGGGTGCGGTGGCTCGTGCCTGTAATCCCAGCAGTTTGGGAAGCCGAGACGGGCAGATCACCTGAGGTTAGGAGTTCGAGACCAGCCTGGCCAACATGGTGAAACCCTGTCTCTTAAAAAAAAAAAAAAAAAAAAAGGAGAGAGGGAGGGAGGAAGGAAGGGAAGGAAGGGAAGAAAGGACCCTTTGTCTACTAAAAATATAAAAATTAGCTGGGCTTGGTGGTGGGTGCCTGTAGTTCCAGCTACTCAGGAGACTGAGGCAGGAGAATTGCTTGACTGCAGGAGGCGGAGGTTTCAGTGAGCCAAGATGGCGCCACTGAACTCCAGCTTGGACGACAGAGTGAGACTCCGTCTCAAAAATAACAATAAAGCTCCTTTGGCTGTTAGGTAAAGATGGCCAATGATGGGACTGCTGCTGTCACCAGTGAGAGTTGATGGTGGCCATGGAAACTTTCAACCCAGAGTTTTCTGTTTGATTAGAGCCAAACCTGAGTCTCCCCATTTACTGTTCCCGTCAATTCCCAGCCAAGGCGCCAGATTGTCCGAGCAGCAAATTAATGGGTATGGGACAGAGACAGATCAGACAGGAAGTCCCCGGCTCAGCCTAGAACAGAGCAGCCCTTTGGGAAAAGTTCCAAATGGCTTTACAGGAGGCGTTCATTTATGCTACCACTTTTTTTTTTTGGAGACAGAGTCTCGCTAGGTCACTCAGGCTAGAGTCCAATGGTACAATCTTGGCTCACTGCAACCTCCGCCTCCTGGGTTCAAGCAATTCTCCTACCTCAGCCTCACAAGTAGCTGAGATTATAGGCATGCACCAGCTAATTTTTATATTTTTAGCGGAGACAGGGCTTCACCCTAGGCTTGTCTTGAACTCCTGACCTCAGGTGATCCACCTGCCTCAGCCTCCCAAAGTGCTGGGATTACAGGTGTGAGTTAGTCATGCCCGGCCGGGCAGGCTAATTCTTTGTGTCCTGTACTTATCAGGATGCCGGGTATCCATACCTCCCAGCCACCAAACTTCAGTGGTACTCCCAGTCATTACAACAATCAAAATATCCCCACAGGTTTCCAGGGACATGGGAGAGTGGGGAGGATCATGCCACCCTCCAGTTAAAAACCACTGGTTTCCCCCTGCCTTGTATGGTCTCCATTCTCAAGTTTACTTCATGAGCCAGAATGACTGCTCAAGCTCCAGCTTTTTTTTTTTTTTTTTTTTTTTTTTAAAAAAAACAACAAGGTGTTGCTCTGTCACCTAGGCAGGAGTGCAGTGATGCCATCACACCTCATTGCAGCCTCAACCTCCTGGGTTCAAGGGATCTTCTCACCTCGGCCTCTCTAGTAGCTGGGACTGCAGGCATGCCACCACGCCAGGCTAATTTTTTTGTAGAGATGAGGTCTCACTTTGTTTCCTAGTCTGGTTCCAATCTCTTGGGCTCAAGAGGTCTTCCCGCCTTGGCCCCCCAAAGTGCTGAGGTTGCAGACATGAGCCACTGTGCCGGGCTCCAGTTTTTATGTCTACATGTCAGCCATAGGAAGGAGAAAAGAAGGGGTACTCCTTCTTTTTTTTTTTTTTTTGAGATAGAGTCTCGCTCTGTTGCCCAGGCTGGAGTGCAGTGGTGCGATCTTGGCTCACTACAACCTCTGCCTCCTGGGTTCAAGTGATTCTCCTGCCTCCGCCTCCTGAGTAGCTGGGCTTATAGGCATGTGCCACCATGCCCAGCTGATTTTTTTTGTATTTTTAGCAGAGACAGGGTTTTGCTGTGTTAGGCTGGTCTTGAACTCCTGACCTCATGATCCGCCTGCCTCAGCCTCCCAAAGTGCTGGGATTATAGGCGTGAGCCACCATGCCCGCCCAGGGCACCCCTTCTTTTTAAGGACACTTCCTGGAAGCTAGTCGCCTACTGCACACCCTCCTACATCTCATGCACCAGAACTGTGGTCATGTGGACATGCTTAGCTGCAAAGGAGAATGGAAAATTCATGCAGGCAGCATGTGGCCAGCCCCAGTTCACCAGCACTGTCACTGAAGAATGGGAGGCTGTCAGCTGCATGGGGGCAGTGATTTGTGTCTATCTCTTCCTAGTGTCTAGAACGGTGCTTGGCACACAATAGGCACTTAATGAGTATATGCTGAATGGGCTGGGCACAGTGGTTCATGCCTGTAATCCCAGCACTTTGGGAGGCCAAGGCAGGCAGATCACTGGAGGTCAGGAGTCCAAGACCAGCCTAACATAGTGAAACCCTGTCTTTACTAAAAGTACAAAACTTAGCCAGGGTAGTGGTGTGTGCTTGTAATCCCTGTAATCCCAGCTACTTGGGAGGTTGAGGCACAAGAATCACTTGAACCCGGGAGGCAGAGCTTGCAGGAAGCTGAGATCACACCACTGCACTCCAGCCTGGGCAACAGAAACTCTTGTCTCAAACAAAAAAAATGGTATATGTTGAATGACTGGATGAGTGGATAGTGGAGGAGACCAGGGATCTACTCCAGGATAGGCACCAGACAGAATGGCCATCGGGACCTGGGAGGATGCAGAGTTTGCAGGGGAAGATAGCCTTGCAGGTGACCACAGCACAGTGACACATGCTCTGGAACCATGGAGCCACTGAGGGCACTGTCCTGAGCAGCAGGCAGACCCAAATCCAAGTGCCTCCACCACTCACTAGCTGTGTGACTCCAGGCAAGCCCCTTAACCTCTCTGAGCCTGTAGCTTTTCATCAGATAAAGCAGGGGCCACACCAAATCCTTCTGCCTTACAGGGCTGTTGTGAGGATTACTGAGTGCCTCGCACAGTGCCTGGCCTGCAGTGCGTGCTTTATAAATGTTAAATAGTGTTAACTGGTTTTTAGAGGTAAGTGCTGCGTGTTCTGTGGGAACATAGAGGAGGGGCCTCTAATATAGCTTTGGAGGCTGTGGAATCAAGGAAGGCTTCCTGGCAGAGAGGGCAACCTGAGTTGAGACTTGAGGAACAAATAGTTACACAAGGGAAGAGTGTGCTCCACAAAGGGAACAGCATATGCGAAGGCCAGAGGTCAGGAAGAACAGAGCCTGTTCAGTAGTCAGTGTGGCTGCAAGATGAAGTCGGGGTTTGAATGGGCTGATGGTGTTGAGAGGTGAGGCTGCAGGGGTCATCAAAGGCCAGGGTCAAGAAGGATGGATATAGGCGAGGTGCAGAGGCTCATGCCTATAATCCGAGCACTTTGGGAGGCCAAGGCAGGAGGATCACTTGAGCCTAGGAATTTGAACCAGCCTGGGCAACACAGTGAAATTTCCATGTCTACAAAAGCAAAAGTAAGAAGGATGGATTTGCCCAGTAGGAACACTGGACCTGAAGGTTTTCAGGCAGGGGCGAGGGAAGAGAGGCCAAACAAAGAAGAGACATCAGACAGCTCAGCCCACCATGTCTGTTGGAGAATAAGGCCATGGAGGTCAAAGCAAGTTCTTGTGATGGGTGGGTGTTGGGGTGAGGGCGGCCCTACATGGGACCGAGGGCAACGCTGAGTATAGGTGAGGATTGGGGTGGGCTGTGACATCACCCCTTCCTCTCCCCTGCCTACAGCTTCGGGGTGCTGCTGTGGGAGCTGCTGACGGGGGAGGTCCCCTACCGTGAGATCGACGCCTTGGCCGTGGCGTATGGCGTGGCTATGAATAAGCTGACGCTGCCCATTCCCTCCACGTGCCCCGAGCCCTTTGCCCGCCTCCTGGAGGGTAAGCCGGGGCCCCATGGAGAGGGTTGGCTCAGCTTGGAGTGGCAGGGACCCTTGGGCCCAGACCTCGCCCCTTCACACCCATCCATACCAGTGGGCCTGGGAGTGAGGGAGAAGGGGCTGGAACCCACTGGACTCTAAACAGTCTCCCCATGGCTGGCTCCATTCCCCCATCCCCCAACCCTTGTTTTAGCCAGGCCCAGAGCTCTCCAAGACAACCTGTTAGGACTCCTTGGCCCTGGGATTCCACAGTGATCCTGATTCTACCACCAGCCCCTCCTCAGGGTACAGGTCCCAGGGTTTCTCTCCCAGCGTTTCACTGAGTGGAATTGGCCGGGAGCTTGGCTTTGAATCCCTTCCCCTCAGCTCCATAGAAGCTGTTTGTCTTCAGTCCCCAGAAATTCTGCCTTCCTCTGAGCAGGCTGAGTCCCCAGAGCATGACCACTGACACCCCTACCCCATACCACTGTCCTTCCTCCTCCCACCCCAGAATGCTGGGACCCAGACCCCCACGGGCGGCCAGATTTTGGCAGCATCTTGAAGCGGCTTGAAGTCATCGAACAGTCAGCCCTGTTCCAGATGCCACTGGAGTCCTTCCACTCGCTGCAGGAAGACTGGAAGCTGGAGATTCAGCACATGTTTGATGACCTTCGGACCAAGGAGAAGGTGAAGGCAGGGGCAAGGTGGGAAAGACGGAGCAAGAAACCTGGGTTCTGATGCCTTGGGCTGCGCAGAGACCCCTCCCCTGAACCCAGCCTTTGGGTCCACGCAGGGTCAAGGGAGCCTTTTTTGCATATTAAGAAAAGACAGCCTCCTGCTGGTGGATTAATAAGAAAAAGGCACCCTGTACTGAAGTACTTACAGGTGACATTGCATGATGTCTGGGTTTGGCTTTGAAATACTACAGCAGAAACGAAAGGGCAAGAGGTGAGAAGGATGGGGATACAAGATTCACAAAGCATAGGTAATTGTTGTTGGATGATGGGTACTGGGGGGTGCACTGCTCTCTGCTTTGTGGATGTTTGAAGTTTTCTAAATGGAACCATTAAGAAAGGGAAAAGAGAAAGAAAAGGCACCCCTTTCTTTAGGCTCACAGTTCCCTTCCCTGGCACCCAGCTTGGCAACAAAGCACGAATCCAGTGGTGAACCCAGTGTGCCCCACAGCAGAGTACCCTTGTGTGAGGCACCAACCAGACCCAGCAGCCCTGGGTCCCTCCCCAGGGAGCAGGGTGGTTAAGCCCCTCCCCCAGCCCCCGCCTCTCCTCCCCAGGAGCTTCGGAGCCGTGAGGAGGAGCTGCTGCGGGCGGCGCAGGAGCAGCGCTTCCAGGAGGAGCAGCTGCGGCGGCGGGAGCAGGAGCTGGCGGAGCGTGAGATGGACATCGTGGAACGGGAGCTGCACCTGCTCATGTGCCAGCTGAGCCAGGAGAAGCCCCGGATCCGCAAGCGCAAGGGCAACTTCAAGCGCAGCCGCCTGCTTAAGCTGCGGGAAGGCGGCAGCCACATCAGCCTGCCCTCAGGTACCCACCCGAGTCCCCAGAGCGCCCCTCAGAGGCTGCTGGGAGCAGCCCTAACTTAGGATTTCTCTCTTCCTTTTCTTTTCCAGCTTGTTTTTATTGCCAAATATATCACACATAGTCAATGATCAGCCCAGTGCAGTGGCGATCACCTGTAGCACCAGCCTACTGGTGAGGCCAAGGTGAGGCCAGGAGGTTGAGACCAGCCTGGGCAACATAGACCCCATATTTACAAAAAAAAAAAAAAAAAAAAAAAAAGCTGGGCATGTTGGCATGTACTTGTAGTCCTAGCTACTGTGGAGGCTGGTGTGGGAGGATCACTTGAGTCCAGGAGTTGAAGGCTGCAGTGAGCTGTGATTACACCACTGGACTCCAGTCTGTGCAGCAGAGCAAGACCCTATCTCTAAAAGAAAAGAAGGAAGGAGGGAGGGAGGGAGGGACGTGACCAAAAACATGTACAGCTAAATGAGTTACTCTAGTCACCCCGCTCTTGAAAGCAGAGAGAACCCCACAGCCCGCCCTAGTGCTTTTCACCTGCCCTCCCAAACACAATCTCACACCACACCACCCCCTAAGAGGAAGCTGTCTGGACATTTAGGATACTTCTGAACTTTTGTTCTCTCTTCAAAAATATCTTTAAATCTGGCCAGGTGCAGTGGCTTACGCCTGTAATCCCAGCATTTTGGGAGGGCAGAGCGGGTGGATCACTTGAGGCCAGGAGTTCTAGAGCAGCCTGGCCAACATGGTGAAACCCCATTTCTACTAAAAATACAAAAATTAGCCAGGTGTGATGGTGTACATGCCTGTAATCCCAGCTACTTGGGAGGCTAAGGAATAAGAATCACTTGAACCCAGAAAACAGAGGTTGCAGTGAGCAGAGGATGCGCCACTGCACTTCAACCTGGGTGACAGAGTGAGACTCTGTCACGAAATATATATTTATTTATTTATGGCCAAGCGCAGTGGCTCATACCTGTAATTCCAGCACTCTGGGAGGCCGAGGTGGGTGGATCACCTGAGGTCGGAAGTTTGAGACCAGCCTGAACAACATGGAGAAACCTCGTCTCTACTAAAAATACAAAATTAGCCGGGCGTGGTAGCGCATGCCTGTAATCCCAGCTACGCTGGGGGCTGAGGCAGGAGAATCACTTGAACCCAGGAGACAGAGGATGCGGTGAGCCAAGATGACACCATTGCACTCCAGCCTGGGCAACAAGAGTGAAATTCTGTCTCAAAAAAAACCAAAAATGTATTTAGCCCACTATATCCATGTAATCAATACAAAATAATTGTGAGATATTTTACCTTCTTTTTTCACACTAAATCTTTTAAATCCAGTGTGTATTTTATATTTATGGCACATCTCAACCTGGAGAGTAAATTTTCATTAAAATCAATTTTTTTTTTTCCTGAGATGGGGGTCTTCCTATATTGCCCAGGGTGGTCTTGAACTCCCACACTTAGGCAGTCCTCCCACCTTGGCCTCCCAAAGTGGTGTGAGTACAGGTGTGAGCTGCTGCGCCTGATCTATCAAAAATATTTTATCTGTATTTAGATTTTATAAAAGTTGGAGGTGAAAAAGTAGGTTCACATACCCAAGTTGTTCCAAACACGCTTAAATATTTCCGGTAACCAAATGGAGTGCCTGTTTTTAAAATTTAAATTTTAATTACAACCAAATAAATAAAAGAGTTGGCTGGGCATGGTGGCTAACACCCGTAATCCCAGCACTTTGGGACGTGGATGCTGAAGGATCGCTTGAGGCCAAGAGTTCAAGACCAGCCTGGGCAACACAGTGAGACCTCATCTTTTATATATATATATATACACAATTTTACAATTAGATAAATAAAGGTTAAATTCCAATTCTTTTATGGCACAAGCCACATTTCAAGTGCTCAGTTGCTACACGTGGCTACTGGCCGCCATGTTGGACACTGAGGCCGAGGTCCTTGGTCTACTAGAGCTGCTGTGCTTGTGCTTCTTAAACCACATTTCCCTTGCTAAGCCTCACCCCAACTTGCTGATTCAGGGAGGGCCCCAAAATTTGCATTGCCAAGATTTTCAGCTGATGATAATGCTGCTGGTCTGGGGCCCACACTCTGAGAACCACTGCATTAAGGAATGAAAAATGGCAGTGTTCCTGTTCTAGAATTCCTTCTCTGCTTCTACAGTGGAAACTTCCCTTTGGTTACCCGTGGAACCATTTGCTTAGGAAAGCTTCTCTTTCTTTCTGCAGGCTTTGAGCATAAGATCACAGTCCAGGCCTCTCCAACTCTGGATAAGCGGAAAGGATCCGATGGCGCCAGCCCCCCCGCAAGCCCCAGCATCATCCCCCGGCTGAGGGCCATTCGCTGTGAGTATCTCCCAAGGCCCTGACCAGTCGATCAGTCAGTCAACAAACATCTTTGAGCCTGATGTTTGTACCTGGCACCAAGCCAGAGTAACAGCAGGAAACAAGACAGACAAGGCCCTTTTCCTCATTCTTATCATGGGAAACAGAGAGTAAGCAAGTAAGTCAGTAAGCAGGATCTTTTTTTTTTTTTTTTTTTGGTGGAGTCTCTGTCTCCCAGGCTGGAGTGCAGTGGTGCAGTTCTAGTGATTCTCCTGCCTCAGCCTCCCGAGTAGCTGCAGTTACAGATGCACACCGCCACACCCAGCTAATTTTTTGTATTTTTAATAGAGTTAGGGGTTTCACCATGTTGGCCAGGCTGGTGTCCAATTTCTGACCTCAAGGGATCCACCTACCTCGGCCTCCCAAAGTGCTGGGATTAGAGGCATGAGCCACTGCGCTCGGCCACAGGATGATTTCTAGTAGTGATAAGTTCTTTAAAGGAACTCAGGGAAGGGAATAAAAGAGGAGGTATGTTAGTCAGAGTTCTTCAGAGAAACAGAATGATTAGCATTTTTTTTTTTTTAGATAGAGTCTTGCTCTGTCACCCAGGCTGGAGTACAATGGCATGATCTTGGCTCACTGCAACCTCCACCTCCCAGGTTCAAGCAATTCTCCTGCCTCAGCCCCCCTACTAGCTGAGATTACAGGCATGCGCCACCAGGCCTGGCTAATGTTTTGTATTTTTAGTAGAAATGAGGTTTCACCATGTTGGCCAGGCTGGTCTCGAACTCCTGACCTCAGGTGATCTACCCGCCTAGGCCTCCCAAAGTGCTGGGATTACAGGCATGAACCACCACACCCAGCTGCATATGTTTAGTTATATAGAGATGTATTGGTTGGGCACGACGACTCATACCTGTAATCCCAGCACTTTGGGAGGATGAGGTGGGAGGATTGGTTGAGCCCGGGAGTTCAACACCAGCCTGGGCAACAAAGTGAGACCCCATCTCTACTTAAAAACAAAAAAAAATAGATGTGTTATGAGAGATTGGCACTTGCAATTATGGAGGCTGGGAAGTCCTGCAGTCTGCCTTCTGCAAGCCAGAGGCCTGGGAAAGCCGGTGATGTAGTTCCACATCAAGTCCAAAGACCTGGCCAGGCACAGTGGCTCACACCTGTAATCCCAGCACTTTGGGAGGCCGAGGCAGGCAGATCACCTGAGGTCGGGAGTTCGAGACCAGCCTGACCAACATGGAGAAACGCTGTCTCTATTAAAAATACAAAATTAGCTGGGCGTAGTGTGGTACATGCCTATGATCCCAGCTACTTTTAACCAGGGGAGGGAACAGCAAAGGTAAAGCTGGCGGTGGGAACAGTGTGGGCTGCTTGTTAGCCCGCTTGGTTGGAGCAGAGTGAATGGGAGGAGGATGTAGGTTTTGCAGTCAGGGAGTTCACAGGGGTCAGATCAGGCAGAGGCCTAAGAGCAGGATAAGGAGTCTGGATTTTCTTTCCTTTTTTTTTTTTTTTCTTGTTTTTGTTTTTTTTTAATTTTCATTTGACACCTTCGGTATGGATTGTTTTTAATTTTGATGTTTAGTTCTGGGGTACATGTGCAGGATGTGCAGGTTTGTTATATAGGTAAATGTGTGCTGTGGTAATTTGCTGCACCTATCAACCCATTACCTAGGTAGTAAGCCCATGAGTTAGCTGTTTTTCCTAATATTCTCCCTCCCCCACCCCCATGACAGGCACCAGTGTCTGTTGTTCCCCTCCCTGTGTTCATGTGATCTCATTGTTCACCTCACTTATAAGTAAGAACATGCAGTGTTTGGTTTTCTGTTCCTGCATTAGTTTGCTGAGGATAATGGCTACCAGCTCCATCCATGTCCCTGCAAAGGACATGATCTCATTCCTTTTTATAGCTATGTAGTATTCCATGGTGAGACAGGCTTTTGCTCTGTCTCCCAAGCTGGAGTGCAGTGGCTTAATCTCAGCCTCCTGAGTAGCTGGGACTGCAGGCCTGCACCACTATGCCTGGCTAATTTTTGTTATTTTTAGTAGAGGTTTCACCATGTTGGCCAGGCTGGTCTCGAACTCCTGCTCAAGTGATTCCTCCACCTCAGCCTCCCAAACTGCTGGGATTCTAGGTGAAAACTACTGCACCTGGCCTGGTATGGATTTTCCTTTTGTTTTTCTGTTTTTTTTGAGATGGAGTCTTGCTCTGTTGCCAGGCTGGAATACAGTGGGCAATCTCAGCTCACTGCAACCTCCACTTCCTGGGTTCAAGCAGCTCTCCTGCCTCAGCCACTCAAGTTGCTGGGATTTCAGGCACATGCCACCATGCCTGGCTAATTTTTATAATTGTAGTAGAGATAGGGTTTCTCCATGTTGACCATGGTTCTCCATGTTGGTTCTCCATGGTCTTGATCTCTTGACCTTGTGATCCGCCTACCTCGACCTCCCAAAGTGCTGGGATTACAGGCATGAGCCGCCATGCCTGGGCTATGGATTTTCTTTTAGCGGCTCTGGGGCAGCCCCCAGAGCCATGTGAGCAAGGCACTAAAGGAATCAAATTGACCTTTTCCCTCTGGCGACTATAAGAAATAAAGGTGGAGAGAGCAGTGAGATGTTTGAGGCCAGGCCAGGGTGGGGGACTTGGAAGGGACACATGTCCAATGTTGAGGCGATATGGCGGAGATACGGTCGTCAGAGTTTGCTGGTGGGTTGAAGGGTGAAAGGCTACTTCCCAAGTTCCAACCCCTCATTTACCCCAGCACTGTCCTCACCCACAGCCCCCCTGCCCTCTGTCCGCGCACCTGCTCTGTACCAGGCCCAGGAGGTCAGTCCTGCAGGGGACACACAGATAAATACCCATACCATGGCAGCAAGCACGGGCACCAGATAGGTCTAGAGTGTCGCAGGGATAGAGATAAGGGCAGTTGACCCGCAGGGAGCTAACTACCCAGAGCTGGAAGCTGGAAGCATGGGCAGCCAGCTGGAATGAATGGTGAAAGGTTAGGCTGTGAAGAGCAGGATAGGTTGGGGGAGTTGACAGGGACTTGCTCATGGCCTTCAGTGCCAGGCGGAGGCGCTGGAACTTTGTCCTGACTGCGGTAGGGAGCTACGGGAGGATTTATAGCAGGGAGGGTCATGACTGGAGTTTGAAAGAGCCTTTGGACTCCCAAGCAGAGGGTGGTTCTGTGCTGGGGCCCTGGAGGCTGGGAGCCCTCCAGTGGGGACAGACCCTCCACTCAGTAACCAACTGGTTTCTCTGGCCCCAGTGACTCCCGTGGACTGTGGTGGCAGCAGCAGTGGCAGCAGCAGCGGAGGTAGTGGGACATGGAGCCGCAGTGGACCCCCCAAGAAGGAAGAACTGGTCGGGGGCAAGAAGAAGGGACGAACGTGGGGGCCCAGTTCCACCCTGCAGAAGGAACGGGTGGGAGAGGAGAGGTGAGGCATGGTGGTGCCCGCCCTGTGCCCAGGCCCCAGTTCCCAGGCTCCAGGCCACAGAACTGAGGTCTCCATCTCTCCCTGGTCCCCTGCAGGCTGAAGGGGCTGGGGGAAGGAAGCAAACAGTGGTCATCAAGCGCCCCCAACCTGGGCAAGTCCCCCAAACACACACCCATCGCCCCCGGCTTCGCCAGCCTCAATGAGATGGGTAAGAGATTGGGTGCTTGAAAGGGGATGGGGGTTCCCTGGCCAAAGGGGTGAGCCTCCCGGAGCTGAGGGAAGAGCTTCCCAGATTTCACTGGGCCAGTGGGTGGGAGGCCTTTCTGGAAAAGGAGATGGTGGCCCCTGGGAGGTGGGAGGTAATTTCCAGGGGCAGGGAGCACCCTTCCCCAAAGCTCCTCAGGGAGGCAGATTCAAGAACCAGGTTTCTGGGTCTTGGTCTTACTGTTGGAGGGGTCCCCGTGGGGCCCTGGCCAGCCCCGCAGCTGAGTGACAGGTGGTCCTCTCCTGTTGCAGAGGAGTTCGCTGAGGCAGAGGACGGAGGCAGCAGCGTGCCCCCTTCCCCCTACTCGACCCCATCCTACCTCTCGGTGCCGCTGCCCACCGAGCCCTCCCCGGGGGCGCGGGCGCCGTGGGAGCCGACACCGTCCGCGCCCCCCATTCGGTGGGGACACGGCGCCCGGCGGCGCTGCGACCTGGCGCTGCTAGGCTGCGCCACGCTGCTGGGGGCCGTAGGCCTGGGCGCTGACGTGGCTGAGGCGCGCGCAGCCTGTGACAGCGAGGAGCAGCGGCGCTGGCTAGACGGTCTGTTTTTCCCCCGCGCCGGCCGCTTCCCGCGGGGCCTCAGCCCGCCCGCGCGTTCCCACGGTCGCCACGACGATGCGGGCCTGGGCCTGGTGCCCTCGGTCACCCTCGTGTCGCTTTCGTCCGTGTCCGACTGCAACTCGACGCGTTCACTGCTGCGCTCAGACAGTGACGAGGCCGCGCCGGCCGCGCCCTCCCCTCCACCCTCCCCGCCTGCTCCCACACCCTCACCCAGCGCCAACCCCCTGGTGGACCTGGAGCTGGAGAGCTTCAAGAAGGACCCTCGCCAGTCGCTCACGCCCACCCACGTCACGGCTGCACGCGCCGGCGCCGTGAGCCGCGGGCACCGGCGGACTCCATCGGACGGGGTGCTGGGGCAGCGGGGTCCTCCCGAGCCCGCGGCCCACGGCCCTGGTGAGTGAGGCACCCTGCACCCAGGCTGCAGAAAACCCTCTTCCCTTCTTTGCCAGGGTCACAAGTCCAGCCTAGCCACGACCCCTCAAGCTGCCGCCTGCTTCTTGTGGAGGAGGGAGGGTCTGTGTCCCTTTGCCCCTCACTTCATTGGGGTGTCCAGGGGACAGACACGGGTGGCAAACTGATGCCTACAAGGCCAGGTGGGTGCCTTTAGCAATAGTGACCAGCATGGCCATCGCCAGCTCTTACACAGCGCCTAGACACTGCTCTCCATCAGTTAACTGGGGTGGAGATGCCACCTTGGCAGTGTTATTCAGTACCTACCGTCAGGAGCTGCTGCTTGTGTTAAATTATTTTACTTGCTCCTCACCTCCGTAATGAGGTGCCATGTTTATCCCCATTCAGAGGTAAGCCATGCCTGAAGTCTGCCTGCATGAGCTTAGCCCAATGTACGAGAGTCAGGAAGACCAGGGTTTTGGTCCCAGGGCCCGCTAAGCAGCAGCTCCAGAAGGTTAAGGAGCATACTAGGCCGGGTGCGGTGGCTCACGCCTGTAGTCCTAGCACTTTGGGAGGCTGAGGTGGGTGGATCACCTGAGGTCAGGAGTTCAAGACCAGCCTGGCCATCATGGTGAAACCCCATCTTGGGGGGGAGAAGCATGCTAGGGTCCACCCAGAGCAGCAAGCACCTGGGAGTGGTCCCAGCCTAGGTCAGGGTCCCAGCACTACCACACTGCAGCTGGAAATTGGGTACAGCAAGATCCATGGATTTCTCGGGAGAAACCAGAACTGTGCTTTTCATGTAAAAGCTCTGGGCTTTTCAATGCCACCCTCTGCCCTACCCCACTCACCTCCTCTGAACCTCTCTTACCAGGCCCTCGAGACCCTCTGGACTTCCCCCGCCTGCCTGACCCCCAGGCCCTGTTCCCAGCCCGCCGCCGGCCCCCCGAGTTCCCAGGCCGCCCCACCACCCTGACTTTTGCCCCGAGACCTCGGCCAGCTGCCAGTCGCCCTCGCTTGGACCCCTGGAAACTGGTTTCCTTTGGCCGGACGCTCACCATCTCGCCTCCCAGCAGGCCAGACACTCCGGAGAGCCCTGGGCCCCCCAGCATGCAGCCCACACTGCTGGACATGGACATGGAGGGGCAGAACCAGGACAGCACAGTGCCCCTGTGCGGGGCCCATGGCTCCCACTAAGGCCTGCCCACCACCGCCCGCCTGGGCAGCCATGAATGTAGCGCCCCAGGCCCCGCCCCAGCCCGCCATGCCAGAAGGTGGGGGAGGCCCTGGGGAGGATGCTCACTCTATTTATTGGGGAAGGGGGGAGGGGGGACACTTAACTTATTCCTTTGTACCCCAGGGGGTGGAGCCCTGTGTCCACCCATCACTGGGGGAGGGTGGGCAGGGATACTCAGGGACAGGGCATCATAGGGGACTTGGCACAAAAATGCAGCATTAAAGGTAACCCCTGCCCCCTACCGCACTTGGCTGTGTTCCTTTTTCATTTTCTTTTTTCTCTTTTTTGAGACACAGTCTGGCTCAGTTGCCGAGGCTGGAGTGCAGTGGCACCGTCTCAGCTCACCGCAGTCTCCACCTCCTGGTTCAAGTGATACTCCTGCCTCAGCCTCCTGAGGAGCTGGGACTACAGGCACCCACCACCACAGCCGGCTAATTTTTGTATTTTTGGTAGAGACAGGGTTTCACCATGTTGACCAGGCTGGTCTCAAACTCCTGACCTCAAGTGATCCACCTGCCTCAGCCTCCCAAAGTGCTGGGATTCCAGGCGTGCGCCACCACACTGGGCCTGGACTGTTTATTTCCCGGGCCCAGTCCCTGATGCTGGGTCAACCCAATGGAACATTCCCCCACCCCACACACCCTCCCTGGGCTTCTCTGGGTTTCTAAGGTCCAAGGGATGTGGCCCTCCCTGGTCACCCCCAAGAATACCACACAAGTTATGATCACCAGTGACAAGTGTTTTACCAGCAAACATGAGTCGGGGGAAGTTACATACATGGTGAGGTGGGAGGATGAGGGGGCAGAGACGGTCCTCTTCGGTTGGCCTCAACCAATCACATCCCGAGTCTGGGCCCCAGCTCCACTGTCTTCCCGCTGGAGGCTGCAACGGTTCATCTTCAGCTGAGTCAGCTGGATGTAGCGGAGCACGTTGGTGTCTGCAGGGGAGGCAGGCAGGGCATCAGCTGGGTGTCCTGGGGCAGCAGGCGACTTCCACGCCATCCTGGCTCACACCCCATTCTCCACAGTCTCCAGCAGCTCACTCACACAGCCAATAGTGCCAGAGTCCTTCCCCAAAGCCACAGCTAGTGACATTGTACACCTCTATGCACCTGTATTTGCCGCAGCCTCTGCCAAGAATGCCTCTTCACAGAGGATCCCGTCACTTCCCATCCTCCAGTGACATCGGCAAGAAGTCTGTTCTCTCCCAGCCACTTAGTGGGAAAACTAATCTCGTCTCTACTCCCACAACCCTGAACCTGTTGTAATCCCTCTTCATCCCTCATTAGCTCTTAATACAAAACCGAGTGTTGTGTCTGCCCTCTTGCACTCATAAGTGCACACATGCGCACACCCCAATTTCCTGGCATCGCCCACCCGGGTGGATGAGTGGATGGTGGAGGAAGTGAATGAATAGGTGTGTGTGAATGGGTGAGTGGGTGAATGGAGGAATAAGTGTGTGCGTTATGCAGGGTGGGAGGGGGGAATGAGATGACAGTGGGTGGATAGGGAAGTGGCTGAGGCCGTGAATAGGTGTCATCAGGTGTGTCAATGACAGTAGATGAGAAATGACGCTATGGGGAGATGTCAGAGGAGTGATGGGGAGATGGATGGGTGAAAGGTGGGTGGATGAACAGTGGGGTGAGTGGAGGAGTGGGCATGTAGGGAGTGGGTGGGTGGTGCAGCCCTCCCTCGAGGCAGCTCCGCGGGAGGAGGAGGGCTCTGCTGTTCTGCCCCGATCTTCCTGCCCATTCCCTCTGCTCCAGCCCCTTTCCGATCCCTGGGCCAGCCCTCACTTCTGCCCTGCCCTGCCACTCACCTGTGGGCTCCCGGCTGCGGGCCTCCTGCAGGTAGCGCAATGCGCGTGCATAGTCACCTAGGTGGTAGAAGGCAATGCCGGCGCGGTAGGTGGCCTTGAAGTTGCCCTGCTGCTTCTCCAGCACCTTGAGACAGTACTCACGCACGCGCTCGTAGTTCACCAGCTCCGACTGCAGCAGGCAAGCTGCGGGGGCACCGGGGCCGGGGTTCTCAGAGCCTGGTGGCACCCTCAGAACCCACCTGACCATGAGGAGCCAGGGCTCCAGGCTGCAGGGAACTCGGCCTAAGGGATTGCTCGGGCCACCGGGGGCGCCAATCTGCTTGCCTATCAAAACAGATGTAACTGCACCGCCGCTAGGGGGCGCCAAAACACGGACAGGCGTTGGCCTCTAGGTGATCCCACGGACAGGCACTGGCAACTAGATGATCCGCCCGGAGCTGTCGGTGGGCAAGAGCACTAAGGGCGGCGCGGGGGCGGGAGGGAGGGGGCCGGAGTCGAGGGCCAGGACCTTCAGCGGCTCACTCAGGGCAGACTTCCTCACCTTAGGTCCACGTGCAGCCAGAAGGTGGTAAGAATGACTCGAAGCAGGCCCTGAAGACCCCACCCAAAGACCATTTCCGGCATCCCAGCTCCCTCCAGCCACAGACCGCTGTCATCCCCTACCCCTAACCTCTTTCCTTGATCAAGCTCTCAAGTCTCCCCCAGAAGCCCACGGCCCCAGACCCTTCAGCCCCGGGGCCTCTGTCCCCCAGGTCGCCAAGCTCTCCCGATTGCCCCTCTCCAACCCGCTCCCCATGTGCCCCATCCCTTCATCCCCCGACGGCGTACCTGTGAGAGAATCATAACACTCCACCTCCGTGCTCTCCACCAGGCGCCGCTGCTCCTCGCTGAGGCGCGCCGGCCCGGGACTGCTGGTGGGCCCGGGGGCGGGGGCAGGCAGGCCGCCAGGGCGGGCCCCCTGAGCCGCCTTCAGCTGCAGCAGCGCTCGGTGGTACTTGCCGATGGCCTCCCGGAACTTCTTCTCTCGGTAGCAGCGCTGGCCCTCCGCCTTGAACGCCACGGCGGCGCGCAGGCTGCTGTCGAGCGCCGCGCCCAGGCTCCCCGACGGCTCTGGGGTAGGACCGGGACGAGTCGAGCCATGGCGGGAGCCAGAGCCCGGGCCCGGTGGGGACAGGGCGGGAGGCGGCCGCGGCGGAGGCTCCGGGGCAGCGCTGAGCATCAGCACCGGGGACAGCGCACCGCGCTGCATTGTGGGAAACTCCTGCCGCCGCGCTGCAGCAACCGCATCGCCCCCCACGGGGCTGGTCCCCACCCTTTCTCCGCCCCCTCACCTCCGGTAGCCGACTCCAGCTGCCCCCTATGGGTCTAGGGAAACCCCTTGAGACTTCCCCCATGCTCACTCTCAAATTAGCCAAGTCCTAGTTCTCCAGCCCGCCCCCGAATTGTCCCCACTCCCTTACCCTCCTCACCCCCCTGCCTGCTCTCCTCCCTGGTGCCCAGAACTCCTGAAGATTTCTAGAAGGAAAGGACAAGCCTGGGGGAAAGAGCAGGAAGACATCAGCCTCAAGGAAAGCTGGCTCTCAGCCTGCTGGCCATTTGGCATATCGAGTGAGAACACAGGATTTGGACCCAAACCGCCCAAATTCAAATCCCTGCTTATTTTCTCACTAGTGGTATGACTTAGACAGCTCGCTTAAACTACCTGGAACTCTGTATCCTCATCAGTAACATGGGACCATAATATCTCCTTTAGGGCCGGGCATGATGGCTCACACCTCTAATCCCAGCACTTCGGGAGGCCAAGGGCAGTGGATTGCTTGAGGCCAGGAGACACACACACCAAAAAAAAAAAAAAAAAAAAAAAAAAAATTAGGCGGACTACAGGCATACCCCTGTAGTCCCAGCTACTCGGGAGACTGAGGCAGCAGAATCGCTTGAACCTGGGAGGCAGAGGTTGTAGTGAGCAGAGATTGTACCACTGCACTCCAGCCTGGGTGACAGAGGGAGATGCTGTCTTAAAGGAATAAAGGAAGAAAAGGAGGGAGGGAAGAAGGGAGGGAGAATACCTTCTTTGGGATTCATCTGTTAATTTACACAACAAATATTCGCTGACATCCTTTCTGTGCCCAGCTCTGCTGGATGATGCTGGGATGTAGCAGAGACTGCATGAGCTTCAGACCCTACCCTCACTGGGCCCCCAGTTCAGTAGGAAGACAGACCAGTGACCAGACAGTGGCAGCCCTGAGCAGGCTAGCCTGGGAAGCACAGGCAGAGGTGTCAGGGCCAGGGGGGAGGAGGCACATGCAGAGGGATTGGGGCTGGGATATGGGAGGTACTGCCGTGGGCTGAGGTGGTGAGTAAAGCCTTCCTAGAGGAGGGAATGACTCTGTAAACAGGAGAGATCTCCTTCTTGCCCTCATCAAGCTCGCCTGTCTATGTGGAAAAGCCAGTGAGAAGGCAAACAAGTCCCCAGGAAAGGAAGCATGCAGGAGGCTTCAAGAAAAAAAACTGAGTGTGAATGAGTCGATTGCCCTTCGGTCCTCCTTAGCCGCCTCCTTAGCTGTGGGACTTGGGCCAACTTCCTCCATCTTCCTCCTTTGACTTTTTCTGTGTGACATGAGGATAAAAGGCAAGTTAACCTCAGAGAGGTTGCAGGGACTGAATTATCTTATGCAGGTAAGGCACTTAGCACAGGGCCTCAAACATTAATGAGCAATTAACAATTGGTGTTTCTTATCCATTAGACTGAGTCATGTGATCTTGAGTGCCTGGCTCTGAGTCAGCATCCACATAGAGTTGTTGAATGAATGAGTGTGTGAGTCAATAGCATTCTGCCTTACTACTCCTTCCCCCTCCCCTGAGACTGTGGCTTGGGTCTCAGCCCCAAGCACCTCCACTCTCCCCACATCCACCCCCACAGCACATCCTCCAGCTGAAGGTCCCACATGCAGGTTGCATGTGACAGACAGAAACTGGAACTCAGCATCTGCCATCTCAACCGCAGCATCTGCCTCTATGTCTTATTGTACTTTGCTGTAAAATGCTTTTGCTGGGTGAGTTTCTCCCTTATCCTTGGGGTCCAACCTTGAACACCTCAGTTGTGGAAACATTTTCCTTTCTGCATCTCCAAACCCAGGCAGGTAAAACTCCAGATTGTGGGTTCTTGAGCAGTGCACACACCTTTCCCCATCTCGGGTGTGGCTGCTTTGTAATTAAAAACATGAAGATCTGGCCAGGCGTGGTGGCTCACACCTGTAATCCCAGCACTTTGGGAGGCCGAAGCAGGTGGATCACCTGAATTTAGGATTTCGAGACCAGGCTGGGCAACATGGCAAAACCTTGTCTCTACCAAAAATACAAAAAAATTAGCCAGGTGTGGTGGTGTGTGCCAGTGGTCCCAGCTACTTGGAAGGCTGAGGTAGGAGGATCACTTGAACGCAAGAGGTGGAGGCTGCAGTGAGCTGAGAACACCACTGCACTCCAACCTAATGACAGAGTGAGACCCTGTCTCAAAAAAAGAAAAGAAAAAAGAGCCATTGATTCATGACACATGTTTTCTGACCAAGTAAATACCTAGGTACCCAGGCACAGTAGCAGAGGACAACTGTACCTAAAATCACAGTCCTGCTGGGATGCAATGCTAACGCTTACACCACCTCCTAGGTGTCAGACATCATCATAAAGCTTTATGTATATTTTGACTCACATCCTCCCCACAGTGTCAGGTGGTGGGTACCATAATTAATCCCCATTGACACCTGGGCACTTCCCAGGTTAAGTATATCAGACCCCATTGATCAAACTCTTACTAACCAGTACTTACTATTACAAACTGATGACCTTCACAGAGCATCTCCCAGGCCTGAGACCCTATCTTCATAGTCCAATATAGGTGATGTGTTGGGGCTTGTACAACAATTAAGAAATATTGAATTAGGCCGGATGTAGTGGCTCACACCTGTAATCCCAGCATTGTGGGAGACCAAGGCAGGAGGATCACCTGAAGCCAGAAGTTCGAGACCAGCCTGATCAACATGAAGAAAACCCATTGCTACTAAAAATACAAAATGAGCTGGGTGTGGTGGCACATGCCTGTAATCTCAGCTACTTGGGAGGCTGAGGCGGGAGAATCGCTTGAACCCGGGAGGCGGAGGTTGTAGTGAGCCGATATCGTGCCATTGCACTGCAGCCTGGGCAACAAGAGCGAAACTCCGTCTTAAAAAAAGAAAAAAAGGAAATACTGAATTAGTCAACATCTAAAGGCAGAGATGGAATTGCAGAATTTCAGATTTAGTTGAGTAAGATCTGAAAATCCGGCAGCATCGTGGTAGCATTCCTCCCGACCGACCGGGGCGGGCTTTCTCAGTTCCCCACAGTCCCCTTCCTTCCCGATTTCATGCCAGTCCTTAGGGGGATCCCAGTTTTATCCTACTGAAAGGTTCTAGGGGAAGCCCGCCATTGCCCCCTAGTGGAGGATTCAGAATTTGCATTTTATATCCAGCAACCGTTAAAGGGCGTGTTGAGAACAATCCAATCAGAAGGATGCGAGCCCTAGAAAGCGACCAACCAAAAGCAAGAAGGGACTGGAATTCGACCAATGAGAGCAGAGAGTGCTCAAAATAAAAACTTACTTTATTGAGATGAGGGACGAACACACACTGGGAGGTTGTTTTTTTGTTTGTTTTGATGGCTGAGTCTCAGCGCTCAGGGAGGCTCAGGTGGAGGCGGCGGAGCAGGCAGGCAGCCGTGAGGCTGGTGCCCTGGCGCTGGGACCGCGCGTACTTGAAGAAGACGGCGGCGCGGCCCGGCGCGGGACCTCGGAGTGCAGCGCGGGCCATGCACGGCTCGAGGGGGCCCAGTTCCTCGGAGCTGCAGAGGGAGATGGAGAAACTGAGGCAGGGCAAGGGGGTGGAGATGACCCATCCTCAGAACTGGAGCTTCGAGGCCGAGATGCGTCGCTGTGGGTCCCCACAGACGGGTCAGGGCTCTCTTGAGATCGGGCACTGGAGTGACTAGGCGGGTACCGGGGAGGGTGGACACCTGATTCTCCCTGCAGGGCGCAGCTAGTGGGGAGCCAGAACCCGCGAGGAAGCAAAGAGAGGAGCCGAGGATGGACAGCCATCCTCTCTATCCTGGGGATACAGGCTGGAAGAAAAATGGTTCGCCCTGCCACCTGGTGGCACAGTTAGCGATCCTAGCAGCTAAAGGGAAACCCCATCCACCACCAGATACAGAGTTAGAGGAGTCGAGGCCTGGGAGAGCCTTCGTTCTCAGCCCTGGAAGGCAATTGGAACATCTTCTGGGCCTGAGAGACTTTATCTTCCTCCCTGGGGCAAGGTTAAGTGCCCCCAGATCTGGACTAATGGGATCCTCCCACCCCATTCTCTCCCATACCAGAAAAATCAAGTCTAGGTGCCACCTTCTCCCCAATAATCGTCTCTCATTCTCTGAGATGGTAAAAATGACCAGGAAGGGAGATCCCTGAAGCTGAGGTGACCCCATACAGGCCCCCCAACAAGGCCACACCTGTAAAGTTCCGGCTCGAGCCTGGAGCCCGCCCCGTCGAGCAAGCGGTGCGCCAGGCTCAGAGCCGCAGCTGCGCGACGACCCGGCTCCCATCCCACCGCCTCGGCCTCCAGCAAAGACAACTCCAGGAAGTAGGTGGCAAGTAGCATCACCTGCAAGCGAGGCGGGGCGACTGTCAGGCCCCGCCCTACCCCACGCCGGCCCGGCCCCACCCCCACCCCGCGTATCCACTAAGCCCACCTGGGGGCTGCTCCCTGCCAGCGCGGCCAGCAGGCCGAGGCACAGCAGCGGGCCCGGGTGGTACAGCCGGAAATCCAGGCGGCTCAGGACGCGGCGCTCCGCGCGCAGCAGCTCCGCCCGCGAGAAGGAGTCCGCACCCAGGAGGCAGAGGCAGGTGGGCTGCAGATGGGGGATATGAGGGGGAGGTGAAAGAGCCCTGGATCCCAGCTCTTTACTCCCTGCCCTGGAACGGCCCAAGTTCTGGACCTCAGTTTCCTGGTATGTAAAATGAGGCTATTGGCTTGTGTCTCCAAGTCATAGAGAGCACGGGCTTCAGAGTCCTGAGTTCAAGAGCTAGGTCCGAGTTCAAACCCCACCGTCTGCTCACTGTGTGATGCAGGACAGTCACTTAGGCTCTCAGCCTCAGTTTCTCCCTCTGTAAAACAGAGATGCTACTCCCTGCTTCACCAGGCAATTCTGATAAGGCACTGAATTCATGCATGTTGACGGTAAGAACTCAAGATGAACTTGTTCACATTATTTTTATTTTTCTAAATTAGAGATGAGGTCACCTTGGCTTCTCAAAGTGAGGGATTTTTGTGTGGGGGATAGAATGCAGTGGCGTGACTCACTGCAACCTCTGCCTCCTGAGTTCAAGCGATTCTCTTGCCTCAGCCTCTTGAGTAGCTGGGACTACAGGCATGCACCACCACGCACGGCTTGTTTTTATATTTTTAGTAGAGACGGGGTCTCACCATGTTGGTCAGGCTGGACTCGAACTCCTGACCTCAAGTGATCTGCCCGTCTCTGCCACCCAAAGTGCTGGAATTACAGGAGTGAGCCACTGCATCCAGCCTTAAGACAGACTATTCAAGACCAAGTCCAAGCTCCAACTGCTTGATTTGGGGCAAGTGTCTTCTCTCTGGGCCTCAGTCTCCTCTTCTGTTTAAGGGACACATTGACAGCCCCTCCCTCACACACGTTGGGAATCCCAGACTCAGCACCGTGCTTGGCACACAGTAGGCACTGAATCAGTGACTCCCGAAAGGACTCCATCCACCCTCCCAAATCCCATCCCGAAAGTACCTCAGGAAGCAGGCACTCTTCCATTTTGCATGCCACAAACAGGCAGGCCACGCCCAGCAGCTGCAGGCGATGTGAGCGCACGCGGCTGGCACTCAGGTAGGAATCAAGCAGGTGCACCGCCAGGTAAAGTGTGTCACCAGCCAGACCCAGGTACTCCTGAGGAGGGGCACGGGTGGCCATGGGGTCCCGGGTAGTGATGCAAACCCAGCTCCCCACACCTTTCCAGATACCTACATGCACCTGGACCAGCCAATCTACCACCAGGGCGCGCATCTCCAGGGTCACAGCTCGGGGCAGGGCTCTCCGGGGCAGCACGCGGCACACCTGGGGTTGAGGCAAGAATGCCTCACTCTCCACACCTGTGCCCGGCCTTTCTCCTGAGCTCCAGCCCTGGGTGCAGCAGCCTCCTCCAGTCAGTTGAATGTTTCAGGCATGCCACACCCAAACTGGCCTCCAAATGCATTCCTCTTAGAGGTCCTCACCTAGAACTCTGGCTTTGTTCCAGATGCCTCCACATCCACTTCTCCAGTCTATAGCCCTCAGAGCCACGTGGCCTCCTAGGTGGCTCCCACTAGGTTCCCAGACTTTTTTTTTTTTTTTTTGGAGACAGAGTCTCCCTCTGTTGCCCAGGCTGGAGTGCAATGGCATGATCTCAGTTCACTGCAACCTTTACCTCCTGGGTTCAAGTGATTCTCCCACCTCAGCCTCCCAAGTAGCTGAGATTACAGGCACCCACCATCACGCCCAGCTAATTTTTGTAGAGACAGGGTTTCACCATATTAGGTAGGCTGGTCTTGAACTCCCAACCTCAGGTGATCAGGCCACCTTAGCCTCCCAAAGTGCTGGGATTATAGGCATGAGCCAACATGCCCAGCCTCAGACTTCACTTTTGACTGCCAACCCTCAACCCATCTGCCTCAGAGCACCCAGAAGGCTCTTTCCAAAGAAAGAGCTGACCAAGGAACTCCCCAGCTGAAAACACTTCCATGGCTCCCAGTACCCTTGGAGAAAACTCTAATTTCTTTCAGGCTCTGCTCCAACATCACCTCTTCCCTCTCTCCCCTCACAACCCACACTTCAGCCACAACTGCCTTCTTTTTGGCTCCTAGACTATGCCAAGCCCATTCCTACCCCAGGCCCTTTCCACGTCCTCTTTCCTCTATAGAGAGCATCCTTCCCCAGCGCCTTGCACGGTCTCTCTCTCATTCAACTGACATCTCCATGACTTTGTCTATACTCCCAGCTGGTCCCCAGCTGTCTCAGCATTTTCACTCTGAAGATGTCTCCCTCTGCGCTTTGTCTATTCGCCTGCTAGGCTGCCAGCCTCACAGCTCAGGGACTCCTGACCAGAACACAGGTGTCTCTCAGGTCCTAATAGAGATCCTGGCCCAGGGGAGTCGCTGGCAGGACGTTAAATAAATTCCTCCCTTCAGTCTTCCTTCCGCAGCACCCCTCTGCTAGGGACGTCTGCGGGCTGGTGAGGCCGAAGGTTCGGTTTGGGTGGTTTTTCTCTAATGGTCCTACGTGTTTGCTCATCGCCCCAGAACGAGGCCAGCATCGCAGCACCTCCAGGGCCTAAAACATTCGACACTGAACCATTAAATATTTGTTAAACGAATAAATGTGGAGGACAAGTACGGGGGACCATAAGCACCCCAGAAGGGGCTGCAAAGAGCCTGGGGGACGTTGGAAAGGGCATGCCCAGCGGAACACAAAACAAAAGCCTGGACGTCGCCGGAAAGGAACGCCGGCCGCCAGTGACCCGGAGGAGAGAGGCTGGCGCAGTGGGAGTTCGGAGGTGGTGGTGAGAGGGTGGTGGGTGGTGGGTGGCACTGGCCTCACCGGGGCAGGCGGCGGGTGGGCTCACCATGACTTCGGCGAAAATGTCCCCGGCGTACTCGCGTTCTTCCGGCAGCCCCAGCGCGCTCAGCGCCTCCTCAAGCCCCGGCGGCCTCTCCAGGCGTCTTGGGGAGACACTGAGGCCCATGGGGAAGCTGTCAGGGACTGGGACGCTCGGAGGTTGTGCATCGAGGGAGTCAGCGGGACTCTGCAAAGGAGAAGGCCTTGGTGGCTCAGCGCCTAAAGAGAAGCCCGAGCCGGACCCCTGGCCCCTGCCGCTCACCAGCATCCTCCAGAAGGGCGTCGCGAGTGAGGCTAAGCACTGACCGCTTGCAGCTGGGGGAAGAGACGCCCATCCGGCGCTTTAAATGCGCCTGGGCGCGTGCGCACTGAGCCCGCCTCGCCTGGGCAGGTGCACAAAGGTGAGTGCCCGCAGGCTGGCTCTGACCTCTCGAAGCCCTCTAAAGTCGGGCGGCTAAAGACAGATTCTCATCCTACTGCCCGGAAGCAGCCCCTCTGAGCCTCACTTTCCTAGACCATAAAAGTCAGGATGATTTCAAAATATAGTTGATGAGGTTGTCTGTGAAATGTACAACCTTCTGTTTAAATGTCCAGCACAAGGCCTGATGCAGTGAAAGCTCCTGACATGGGAGCTATAAGTCACTTAACAAATATTAAAGAAAGAAAGACTCTTTTCTGTGCACTGGGTATAGCGAGTAAGCAAATCACCCGAGGTTCCTGTCTGTGCCAAGCTCAGTCCACTTCTGTGAAAGCGACCCCCACAAGCCAGCAGCATCAGCCTAGACTAGTGCGGGGGACTCCTGGCTGCTCTCCATTTCCATCCCCCAGAGTTTGTTCCCCACATGCAGCTGGAGGAAGCTGTGCACCCCTAAAGCAGGTTACCTGTGCCTGTGTCCAGAACTTCATCATGGCTCCCGTCTCCCTCCAGCTGAAGGCCCGTGACACCCCGTTATTCTGCCTCCAACTGAGCACATCCACTCCATGTCCCTCAGTCCTCTTCAGCCCCTCAGACCTTCAGGCTCTTTCTCACCCACACCAGGCAGGCTCCTACTGCAGGGCCTTTACACCAGCTGTTCCCTCTGCCTCAAATGCTCTTCCCTCAGAGACCGTGTTTAAGGTGTTTACCCTGCTGATGATGCCTTCTTCTGGAAACTGCCATCCTTAGCATTTCCTGTCTTTATCCTCTCCAGCACTTACTGCCTTCTAACCAACCATGTGTTATCCTGTTTACTCTCTCCTTCCTAACGTGAATATTCCGGGAACCCCTTAAGGGCAGAGGTTTTGTTTTTTCCTGCTGTATGCCCAGTTACTAGTATAGGGCCTGGTACATAATAGGTGTTGAATAAATATATGTTGAATAAGTGAGTGTCTAGGATGGATGTCTTTTTATTGTGGAGCGGGGAGACAGGGTCTTATTCTGTCACCCAGGCTGGAGAGTGCAGTGGTGTCATCAAGCCTTGACCTCTTGGATTTAAGTGATCCTCTTGCCTCAGCCTCCTATCTGGGACTACAGGTGTGCACCACTACGCTTGGTTAATTTTTATGTATGTATGTATTCAAACGGAGTCTCACTCTGTTGCCCAGGCTGGAGTACAATGCTCGATCTCAGCTCACTGGAACCTCCACCTCCTGGGTTCAAACAATTCTCCTGCCTCAGCTTCCTGACTAGCTAGGACTACAGACACGCACCACCATGCCTGGTTAATTTTTCGTATTTTTAGTAGGGAAGGGGTTTCACCATGTTAGCCAGAATGATCTTGATCTCCCGACCTCATGATCCTCCTGCCTCAGCCTCCCAAAGTGCTGGGATTATAAGCGTGAACCACCGTGCCTGGCCTTTTTATTTTTTTTATGGGATCTTACTATATCGCCCAGGCTGGTCTCAAACTCCTGGACTCAAGCTATCCTCCCACCTCAGCCTCCAAAAGTGCTGGGATTACAGAGGTGAGCCACTGCACCCAGCCAGCCTTCCCCTTTGGCCTTTGGGGTAACAAGTCAGAGCAAGACCAAGCCTATGTTCAGTCAGTCAATAATCGCCTGCTGGCCAGGTGGGTGGCTCACACCTGTAATCCTAGCACTCTGGGAGCCCAAGGTGGGCAGATCACTTGAACTCAGGGGTTCAAGACCAGCTTAGGCAACATGGTGAAACCCCATCTCTACAAAAAATACAAAAATTAGCTGGATGTGGTGGCGCACCCCTGTAGTCCTAGCTACTTGGGAGGCTGAGATGGATCACCTGAGCCCGGGAGGTTGAGGCTGCAGTGGGCCTTGATCACACCGTTGCACTCCAGTCCAGGTGACAGTATTTTAAATACATAACACAACCACACTGGCAAGGAGAGGCAAAGACTGGCAAAAGTCACTTGGGAGCGCAGTATTTTGACTGTGCATCTTCAGCTCAAGGCAAAAAACCATAAACAAATACTGAATTCTAGTTAGTAGGTTTCTTTCTTACAGTGGCGTGTTAGCAATATTTGAGTATACTCTAGAACTGTGCAAGTAAGTAAATGCATCGCAGTCAAGGGTAATCAGGGTTTGCGCCGTCAGAGGATGGATGTGCAAACACAGACCAGAGGTTGGATTGGCCTTTGTGGAGTCCGTGTCACAATGGGATCGGAGACGAAACTGTGTGAACTCATAGTTGTTTATATAGAAATAAGCATTGTGTACCCAAACATGTATTTCCTAGCTTAGTCCACTAGGAGGGCTTAAGAGCAGTGACACCCCAAAAATGAGAAGCACCCCTAACACCCAGACCTTGGCTGCCACATCCCATTCTTCACTAAAAGAAACCAGGGCTACTTAAAGAAATGGCTGATCCAATCAGCCTGGCCAACATAGTGAAACCTCATCTCTACTAAAAATACAAAAATTAGGCGGGCACGGTGGCATGTGCCTGTAGTCCCAGCTACTCGAGAGGCTGAGGCAGGAGAATCACTTGAACCTGGGAGATGGAGGTTGTGGGGAGCTGAGATCACACCTCAACATTCTGGTCTGGGCAACAGAGCAAGAGTCTGTCTCAAAAAAAAAGAAAGGGAAAAGGGGTAAAAGGAAAAGAGAAAGAGAGGGAAGGAAGGAAGGGAGGGAGGAAAGGAGGGAGGGAGGGAGGGAGGGAGGAAAAGAAAAAGGAAAAAGAAAAAAGAAAGAGAAAGAGAGAAAGAAGGAAGAAAAGGCTAATCCCAGGGTCAGTCATACAAGAGAAGATACAAGATCTGGAATATCTTTGTGTGGCAGAAAGTGTCCCAATGGCAGGACATGTCACACAGGCGCAGAAGTCACTAGCTAAATCTAGAAAACATGAGCATCAAGATGATACTCAGAGATCACAAACCACTGAATAAAATTAAAATACTAGTTTATTCCGATATAAATCAGGCAGTAGGAAGGAGGAGCTCTTTAATCTTTGGTATGTGAATAAATGTGTTGTTTTGTTTTCAGAGGCAGGGTCTCACTTTGTCACCCAGGCTGGAGTGCAGTGGTGTCAACATGGGTCACTGCAGCCTCAACCTCCTAGGCTCAAGTGATCCTCCCATCTCAGTCTCCCAAGTAGCTGGGACTACAGGTGTGCACCACCATGCTTGCCTAATTTTTTAAATTTTTTTTGTAGAGACAGGAGTCTCACTTTGTTGCCTAGACTGGTCTTGAACTCCTGGGCTCAAGGGATCCTCCCACCTTGGCTTCCCAAAGTGCTGGGATTACAGGTGTGAGCCACCATGCCTGGCCGAACTAATAAATGTAGAGGGATGGAAAATCTTATTTAGCAATCACCATGGCATCATTTCATGCAAGAAACATCAACAGATGTTCAAACTAGTGGGTGAAATTACATACAAAATGTCTCTACACAAGATGCTTATTAACTATGTAAACCAAAAGGTATCTGAGATAGTCTCAATCCATTTAGAAAGTTTGTTTTGCCAAGATTAAGGACGTACCCATGACATAGCGTCAGGAGGTGACTGGGGCACAGCTTGGTTTTACGTATTTTATGGAGACATGAGACATCATCAGTGTATGTAAGATGTACATTGGTTCAGTCTGGAAAGTTGAAACAACTCGAAGCGGGGGAAGGGGCTTCCAGGCATAGATAAGAGACAAATGGCTGCATTCTTTTGAGTTTGATTAGCCTTTTACCAAATGCACAACTTACAGGAAGGGTCACCTATGCCTAGGCTGGCACAGTGAAACAACAGGGCAGAGGAAGCCATCAGATACGCGTTTGTCTCACATGAGCACAGGGCTGATTTTGAGTTCTGCCTGTCCTTTGTCCACAAAGGAATTTCCTCATGGGCAAATGGTGAGAGAGGTAAGTAGCTTTTTAAAAGTACCTTTAGACCAAGCACGGTGGCTCACGTCTGTAATCCCAGCACTTTGAGAAGCTAAGGCGGACAGATCATTTAAGGTCAAGAGTTCGAGACCAGCCTGGCCAACACGGTGAAACGCCGTCTCTACTAAAAATACAAAAATTAACTGGATGTGGTGGTGGGCACCTATAATCCAAGCTACTCAGGAGGCTGAGGCAGGAGAATCACTTGAATCCTGGAGATGAAGGTCGCAGAGAGCTGAGATCACGGCATGGCGCTCCAGCCTAGGTGACAGAGACTCTGTCTCAAAACACACACACACGGCCTAGGTGACAGAGACTATCTCAAAACACACACACACACACACACACACACACACACACCCCCCACCACCACCACCACCACCACCACCACCCCCCCCCCCCCCCACCTTTGTAGCTGCGTTGTTAAGGAACAGAATGGGAGGCAGGTTTGTCGGAGAAGCAGTTCCCAGCTTGATTTTTCCTGTGGCTTAGTGATTTAGGGAGATTTTTCTTTCACTACAAAGGGAAAGCAGGAACTGTCCAGTGGAGAAACCTCCCAGACACCACCTTCGCTAAGGGATCCAAGTCATCACCAGTTATGGGACGAGCATCCTCATGCGCCTTCTGATAGGATGCCCAGAAAAAGGCACGTCACTTCCGGGAATTCCTGCCCAAAATAGCATGAACATAACCACAAGGAAATGTGAGGCAACCAACCCTGGTTGAGGGAAAATAAATGCAAAGTAACTGTCCTGTGAGTTTGACACCTGCCAACTGAATTCAACGTGTGAGCCTGGTCATTGTCAACACATACAAGGACATTAAGTGTGACCATTAGCAAACCTGGTAAAATCTGTGGAGAATGGCAGTTTCAACGTTGGCTTCCTGCAGTTGCGTAGCAGAATCTTCTTGCTTTAGGACAGGTATACAGACATGGAGGAGGGGTGAATGTAAAATTCTGATCCCATCTTTGTCCGTTTTAAGAAATAAAATGCTGTGAGGAACCTGGTGAAGGGTATATTTTTAAATTCTTTTACGTTTTATTTTTGAATAGATTGACAGACTTCCCATCTACCCCACCCCCAATTTCCCCAATTAACATATTAGCGTGGCACATGTCACAATCAGTGAGACCAATAATCTATTAAGGCCATGCTTTATTCAGCCTCCGCTTTTTCCCTACTACCCTTTTTCTGTTTCAGGACACATCACCGTGACTCCTTCGGTTGATCTTGGATGTGTCCCTTTCTCAGACTTTTCTGATTTCTAACCACCTTAACAAATCCCTCAGCTGACATCTGCCTGCCGTCTGCTTCCTCTCAGTGAGGTGGCATGTGTCTGCGGGAGAAGGATCCCAGGGAAAATGTGGTTCTATTACGTCACGTTAAAGGGACGCCGTGAACGTGATTTATCGGTAATGTTCACCTTGATCACCTGGATGGTGCAGTGTTTGTCAGGTATCTTCACTGAAGAGTTCTTCCCCACTTTCCACACTGCGCTCTTTGGAGGAGTCACTGCAGCCCACGCCTAAGTGGTAGGGGTTACATACCTCTCCTTGAAGGCTGTCTACAGGAATTATTTGTGATTTTGTGAAGATTGGTGTATTCTCTCCATTTGCCACTTAGCAGTAGACTCATTTGTTTCACATTTGCCATGGTGCTATCTCGGCTCACTGCAACATCTGTCTCCCGGGTTCAAGTGATTCTACTGCCTCAGCCTCCTGAATAGCTGGGATTACAGGTACGTGCCACCACGCTCAGCTTTTTGTATTTATTATTCTTTGAGACTGTGTCTCACTCTGTCGCCAGGCTGGAGTGCAGTGGGAAAACCCGATATTATGCTATTTATTTTGTGGCTCAAGTTTTTTTCAGCTTTGGCCACTGGGAGCTCTTTCTTGGGCTCCGTGTCCCTGTGACTTAGCACGTCAGTGCTTACTTTCAGGCACTGCAAGATGCCCCAGGCTCATCTTGTACATTTTCCACCCCGGTCCTGGAATCATCTTAGTACAGTACTATTTTTGAAAGTTTTCTGCAAGTCTGCAATTATTTTAAAATTGGAAGTATGTGAATGGCTACAGTTTTTTGGAAAGGTACCGGACATTCAAGTCCTGGGACGCAGACAACAAAAGTGCAGGCACTGTACAGACGGCTCGCTAAGGTTTATTACAGGACTGCTGGGAGCACCAGACAGACAAAACCAAGTAAATTCCTGTCAATGGGGCGGCTGAATCGGTTGAGGTGTCGCACCCCACGGGGGAAGCAGCTGGAAAGCCTGAGTTCCCCAAATGCAGCAGCTAGAAGGGAATCTCACTGCTACCCCTGACTCAACATGGCCATCAATGCATGCAGGGCAGCCCTCAGACACTTTGCATTAACTGGAAAAGATTATGCAAAAAGAGGAGCAAACTACCGATTTATGATACCCTGTCTATTTGCACAGAGGTAATCAGCACCAAAATGAGTACTCAAGGCCCTGAGACCTCCAGTGAATTTTACTTTTACACCTGCTTTGCTGTGTTATTTTTAAATGACATATATCATTTTTTTTTCCTTTTTAGAGACACAGTCTCACTGTCCCAGGCTGGAGTGCAGTGCTGCAATCATAGCTCACTGCAGCTTCAAACCCCTGGGCTCAAGTGACCTTCCCACTTCAGCCTTCCAAGTTAGCTGGGATCACAAATATGCACCACCATGGCCAGTTAATTTTTGTTATTTTTTGTAGAGACAAAGGCCTCCCTATGTTGCCCAGGCTGGTCTTAAACCCCTGGCCTCACGAAATCCGCCTGCCTCGGCCTCCCAAAGTGCTGGATTACAGGCGTGAGCCACTGTGCCCAGTCTACCGTTCTTTACATACAAAAAAGAACTTGTGAAGTTTTTTAAATGTACATTGCAAAAGATGATTATGCTACTCAAAATGTTTTATTGAGACTTCAAACACCCTCCTTGGGAAAAGCTCTACAGGATAAGCACACAGGCTCAACCACGGGGCCAGCTGCTGCAGCTGTGGGACCCCATCCTGCAGAGGATGAGAGCCACTAAAAGGATGAGGTAGCCAGGCCTGTGCCCACTAGACCTGCCTCACGGGGGCGTGAGTGAGGAGCAACGTGGGTCACCTCAGGGGGCTGGGATTAGACGGAAGGGGAAAAGGCCTTTATAGATCGGCCTATCTTACACCACCAGGGTAGACTTTTGTAATTAAATTAAGGTCCACATGACTTTGGAAAGACAAACTAAAAGTCTTAGCTGTAGCTAACTCTGATTTCTGAAAATTGGATCTGACTTTTCTGCTTAAATTCACTCAAAATCTTAGACTCTAATGGGTGTGAAGTGCTAACACCTTGTGGCCAAATCTCAAATTCATTTGTGCCAGGCCCTCTCTCCACAGCAGGGCTCGGCAGGGCAGGGCTCTGGTCCCTGGTCCTCGGCTGGGGGAGGTGTTCCACCCATCGAGCCCCGGCCGGGCAGCCACGTGACTCAAGCATGTTAAGTGCAGGCGCCCAGACACAGCCAGGCTAAAGGGCAGGGTCTGGTGGAGGACTGACTCGAAGCTGAGCGGGCCCTAACCAAATGCTCAGGAGCTCCCAGGCGACAGCAACCACACCATCATCAACAAACCACTGGGTCTGTACTGGAATTTGGGGGCCTCAAGGCTTCCGGTGGCAGCATAAACGGGGAGGTGTGGCTAGACAGGAATGCCCCACTCTAAGGCTCAGGGGCCTGTGGAATGAACCATTCCCTTTCACTCAGTGACACCACAGGCACCCTCCTCATTCTAGGCCACCCAGATCTTCCACCCCTGTTCCTCCACAGAGCATCCTGGCCTAAGCAGCACGGAGGGCCTGGAGTGATCTCTGTCTACCCACACCCACCCCCCTCAACCCCACAGCTCCAGCTCCACCCACCCTCTCCACCCAGAGCTCCAGCACACACCCCAGCTGCCCTCGCCCTGAGCTCATTCTCACCTCCACACCCCTGCTCCGCCCCCTCCCTTGCTGAAGGAAGTTGCTGGTACAAGAGGAGCTGGGGCCCAGGGGCCGGACTCCATCACCAAAGCAAGGACCAGGGTGGTTGGGCCGGCGTGAGTGCAGGCGGTGCCCTGGTCTGAAATGAGTGTCTTTATTGCTTGTACCGTACAAATATGAAGACGAGGAGAAAAGCCAGTAGGGACGGAAGAGAACTGTCAGATAATCGACATCGCGCAGAGGAAAGAAAGACCCCCACCCGCCCAAACCCACCCCACCCCTCCCCACCCCGCCAGGAACTGCGCAGTACAGGAGGTGGGGTAGGGAAATCAAACCCACAAAAGCTCAACTCCAAACACCCAGAGGTGTTGCTGCGGGGAGGGAAGGCGTGGGCGGGGCAGCGCCTGGATCCCGGTGGCTGGGCTCACACTAGGTCACCAACCCTGCCCCACAGGATGAAATGCTCGGGCCAGGGATGGGGCCCAAGCCCACACACCATGCACACTGGAGGACATACTGCTTCACACACACCAACACACATACACACACACCCACACACATGCACACACACCCACGTGTGCCTGAGTCACGCCGACACACGCAGTCTGAAGCACACACAGGGGTCCCACAGCACTGACATAGACATGCACTCATGTTTAACCTTAAGGCTGCAGAACGTGGGGCCCTGGGGAGGGGGAAGGAAGACAGGGCCTAGGAGCCTCCCTTCTCAGAGGCTCCCTCACCCCAACAGGTACCAGAGATGCCCACCCCCACTCCTCCCTGACCAAGTCCATGGGGCCCAATACTGTCTGGTGTAAGATTGTAACAGCTGAGGCTGGTGCCCCTCCGCCCCTGCAGAGAAGGGGGCGAGCCCAGGCCCGGCCAGGCCCGGGGTCCAGCAGGAGGAAAGGCCAGCTGGAAGGAAGCCCTGGTAAGGCACGGGGCTGGGGGCAGGCAGGTTTGCCCCCAAGTGTTCCTCCTGCCTCATCCACAGGGTGAGGATGGCAGCTTGGTGGGGAGGAAGCAGGGCCAGGAGGCAGCACCCAGCCCGGCCCCTCCTGGTTTCCCACAGCACAGATCCTAGGACCTAGCTGTGTTCACCAGGGAGCGGCCCTAACTCCCAACCCTGCAGCTCCCCAGGGCCCCTGCCTGTCCCTGGATATTATTGCTTTTCTGCCCCCATGGGAGGACAGCGGGTGGGGGATTGGACCCGCGCCTGGGCATTCCAAGCCTAGGCCACGGGGCCTGGAAGGCAGCACCACTGTCTGCCGGGTGTCGTGTCGCACCAGAAGGCAGGCTTCATCTGGAAGCAGCAGCGCAGAGGCAGCCACCGGCGCCCGGGCCAGAAACCCAAGCAGGCCCCGGGCGCCATGCTTAACCCCTCACTGGGGCTTGTGTGGTTTAAAACCTGAATCTCTGCAGCCGCCCAACAGCCTGGGCCTGGGCAGGAGATGGAGTCTCCCAAATGCGAGTCCAGGCACAAACGTGAGGCCGGAAGCAGGGGCCGCAGGGGCCGCTGGGGTGCGTCCCGGAGGGGCCTGAAGAAGAACTGGAAAGCAGGCGAGGAGGTAGGGGTGGGGACACAAACCAAAAAGGCAAAGTAAAAAGTTGGAAAAAAGCCACCCAGCGGTGATGGCAGCATGGGGGCATCCTCTGCGTGGGCGGACTGCTCACTCCCGGATGCTGGCCGAGTAGGAGAACTGGGGGAAGTGGGTCCGCTGGTCCAGCTCCAGGGAGCCCAGGCTGTCATCTGCGGGTGGAGTAGATGGGAAGGACGGGTCAGCAGAGGGCCTGGCCTGCCTCTTGCCCTCCCATCCATTCTCCACAGGCCGCCAGGGGAGGTTTCTAAAGACCTGCTGCAACCCTGTCCCTCTGCACAAAACCCTGCCCTGGCTCCCCCCATGCAGGCAGTCCTTATTCCTCCCAGTGGCCCCCCAGACGCTCACACTCTGGCCCCATGCCCTCTCTTCTCCCCCATCTCCCTGGCTCTGCCTGTCCTCGGCCATGTCACGCTTCTCCCCTTGCTGGCATCCTATATGCCATTCCTGCCAGCTGACGTGTTTGCTTCCTCTTCCAGAAAGCCCTCCCTACCTGCAGGCCAGGTCAGTTATTTCATCTGAGCTTCCCCAGTCCCTGGGCTCCCACAGCCTAGCCCCAACCACTCTAGGCCATCACTCTACCTGGCCAGGAGCTTTCCAGGGCAGGGCCCAGGGCTGGCTCCATCAGCGCTGTGTCCCCAGCACAGCCCAGCCCTGGGCTGGGTTCAGATTAAGAACTCACACAGCTGTAAAGCAGTGAGCCCAGCCAGCCTCACGCACCAAGCTGTCTCCTGCTCTGGCCCCCACTGAGCTCCAGAATCTGCTGTAGCCGATGGCTCCTGGTGACCTCACCAGGTCCACAGAGGACCAACAGTAAAAGGGCCTGAGAACAGGCCTTAGGGAAACTGCCCTGACAGGAAGAGGCGGCCTTCAACGGCCCTCCTCAAGAAGTGGGTTAAGAGCAGGCCCCATCCCTCCACCACTGGCCAGGCATACCGCGGCAGGGTGCCCCAGGCACTCACAGCGGTCGGGGGGTGTGATTGTGATGGACTGGGCGGTGAATTCATCATCGAAGTACCGTGTGTCGACCTCAGACGTGACCTGAGGTTTGAAGGGTGGCAGGAGCTATGGAGGAGAGGAGCCCAGGCTCAGGGACCCTGACGCCAGGAGGCCTCAACCAAGGTCAACACGGGTGGGCCAGGCCCCTGAGGGTCCTGTTGGGGCCAGCAGTGGGGACTCACCTTCTTCTGGACCACGTCCTGCCAGTTGATGCTGAGGAAGAACCTGTGCTCCATGACCTCCTGGGCATCACTGGGCCCCCCACCAAGCCTGGGCAGAGATGGCTGTCAGCACCTGCCTCCCAGAGCAGCTGGGTTCAGGGAGACGGGCTTTCGGCGCAGGCAGGCCCCGCATGGCCTTTAATGATTCTGTCTTGACCACAAACCACCACTTCACAGGGGAGGAAACCGAGGCTCAGGGAGGGAGCTAACGTGCCCAGGGTCAGAGCCAGGGAGTTGGCAGCCTGGACCCATGTGGCCTCACAGTCTGGCCTCACCCTGAGTCCAGAATGGGAGTTAGTAGGGTAGGCTTGGTTCCATTCTGGCTCTGCCACATACAGCTTGGTGGCCCCAGCCAGGCCCAGGGTTGCCCTGTTTCTCAATGTCCCCATAAACCAAGGCAGTGTCGAGGATGGCCTGCCCTGCCCTGGGGGAGCTCTCCCTAAGGGCCAGTGCCCACATTTTCAGGGGCTGTGTGGGGACAACACACACTGCGACACCACAAGCGAGTGCCTTTGTGGACACAGCCCCCTCCAGGCTTCAGGGACAGTGGCAGCAGCTGGGGCCAGGCCAGGCTGGGCTGGGCTGGGCTGGGCTGGGCAGGGCCGACGCCAGCCCTCACCTCTGCTTGGGGTCCTTCTTAAGCAGTCCGGCAAGCAGGGACTTGGCCTCGGGGCTGAGCGTGCGCGGGAAGCGGATCTCCTCCATGAGGATGAGCTCGAACAGGCGCTCGTGGTCCTGGTTGTAGAAGGGCAGGCGGCCACACATCATCTCGTACATGACCACGCCCAGCCCCCACCAGTCCACTGCCCGGCCATAGTCGTTGTCCTCCAGCACCTGAGGACAGACGGGAAATGAGGGGCTGGGCCTGTGGCCCTGAGGCTGGAATCACAGTCGTGCCTTCAGGGCATCTGGGCCGGAAACACACTGGTCTGGGATTCCCCTACCCTTGGCCTCGCATGTTCCCACACCCCTAACCCCAGACACCTCAGGCGCCAGGTACTCCGGAGTCCCACAGAAGGTTTTCATGGTGGCCCCGTCACTGATGCCTTCTTTGCAGAGACCAAAGTCAGTGATCTTGATGTGGCCGTCTTTGTCCAGCATGAGGTTTTCCAGCTGTTGGACAAGTCAACGTATCTCAGGCACGTGCTCCCAGGGCTTCCTGCTACCCCAGCAGGAAGATGGCAGGGGGTCCTGGATATCAACTCTCTCAGGCCAGACTGGGCCCAGCACACACAGCCTCAATCTCTGAGGCTCAGAGAGAGGCCAGACCTAACCTGCTCCACCCCCTGGCCCACCCTCAAGGTCCTTGGGAATAGCTGGGCAGGGAGAACCGGGAGCCAGGCCCTGTCCACCACTGCCCCACTGAGAGCTGCAGGGTCTTAAGTTCGAACATGGGGGTGGGCACTAGCTTTTTTCTTTTTTTCTAGACTTTTTGTCTTTTAATTATGAAATATGCAGGCAGACAAACTGGCTAACATCTGTAATCCCAGCACTTTGGGGGAGCTTAGGAAGCAGAATTGCTTGAGTCCAGGAGTCTGAGACCAGCCTGGGCAACACAGCAAGATCTCATCTCTATTTTATATTTAAAAAAAAAAAAAAAAAAAAAAAAGGCCAGGTGCAGTGGGCTCATGCCTGTAATCCCAGCACTTTGGGAGGCCGAGGCAGGTGGATCACCTGAGGTCAGGAGTTTGAGACCAGCCTGACCAACATGGAGAAACCCTGTCTCTATTAAAAATACAAAATTAGCTGGGTGTGGTAGGGCACGCCTTTAATCCCAGCTACTCAGGAGGCTTGAGGCAGGACAAACCCTTGAACCCAGGAGGCGGAGGTTGCAGTGAGCCGAGATCACACCACTGCACTCAGAGGGAGACTCCTTCTCAGATAAATAAAAATAAGTAGGGACTGTGCCTAGGAGTTCCCATGGAGGCTTGGAAAGGTCCCTACCCTGGCCACTTGCTACAGAACCACTACCCTGGACCTTGGTGGGGAGAGCTTGGCGAATGAGGGCAGAAGGCCTCAGCCCCACCTCCCTGGTGTGAGTCCCGTGTGCGTGCCACGGGCCAGCCTGGTGCACGCCCTGCCACTAACCTTGATGTCGCGGTACACCACGTCCCGCGAGTGCAAGTACTCAAGAGCCGAGACTATCTCCGCGCCGTAAAACCGGGCCCGCTCCTCTGTGAAGACACGCTCCCGGGACAGGTGGAAGAACAGCTGCGGAAGGAAGGGGTGGGAGAGGAGGTCAGGCCCCCGCCCGCTCACTTGCCCTCAGCTTCCCAGTCCCCTGCCCTAGCCCAGTGATGCGGTGACACCTGCATCATAAACCAGCAAGTGACAGCCAGGGAGACCAAGCAAGGCACAGAGCAGAAGCAGCTCACAAGTGACACAGAGCTAGGCGTGAAGGGCTAGGGTCTGCCAGGAGGCACCCACAAGAGGGTATGGGAGGGACAGTCCAAGGCAGCAGAGGAGAGAGGCCGGCACGGAGGTAAAGAGAAGCGCACGTCATGACCAAGTGACAGCAGGCCATGGGCAAGCCCAGATCAGACAGGTGAGCAAACCACCTATCCCAATGCAGGCGTGACATCCGCTGCATGGAGAAGGCTCGAGGCAAGGAGTGGGTGACAGAGTGAGGTGACCTTGTGATAGGGAGTGGAGCGGCTGCATAAATCCACTTCGGGAGGACATGGGAACAGAGGGCTGGTAGGCTTTGACCCTTGGGGGCTTTCTCTGGGGCCTTTAAGACCATCCTTCCCAGTGCTATCGGCCAGCCACTCTGTAGCCCTCTTCACACCTCTCTGGACTGGTTTGGCCCCTGACCCATCCACTCACTAGCTGTGTGAACTTGGGTGAGCCACTGAACCTCTCTGAACCTCAGTAACCGCCCCACCCCCCAAATGAAGATGATGCCACCTGCCTTAAGGGAGGGGGCACAAGATGACATTCAGGAAATTTCCCTCCACCCCTCCATCTCACCCACAGCTCCTCTCCATCCCGCCCCACCCTAAGGAAGGAGGCCCCAGAAGACGAGGCCAGGGCAGCCTCGGCTCACCTCGCCACCGTTGGCATACTCCATCACGAAGCACAGGCGGTCATGGGTCTGGAAGGCGTACTTCAGCGCCTGGGGGATGAAGGCAGCAGGGTCAGAGGTGGGAGGGGGAGGGCCCTGCTTATTCTGCATACACCCTGCCCTGGCTGGGGCCTGGAGTCAGCCAGATGGGGTTCACATGCCAGCTGTACCTTTTGGGGCTTAAGTGAAGGCGTGGCTCTGCAGGTAGGAAAGGGTTACATGCAGAACCATCTTGTCCTCTGCCTCCATCAGGCACCGCCAGGGGAGAAGCTAGAGCTGTTCTGAGCAACCAGGGCTCTTGTTTTTACAGTAAAATGTGTTCAATTTCCACACACAAGTGATGTCTGCTGTGGCTGGGAGTGGCAATGGCTTGGGAGCCAACTTCAATGACGGGATGGACAGGCTGTCAGCCAACAAACAGTAGTTCTGTCTGCACTAAGGAGGCCTATGGAGATTCCTCAGAGACCCCTCAGGGGGTCCCTCAGCTCATGACAACTCAACTATTCTGTTTTCTACACTGAGGAACCTCGTAAGATTTTACTTGAAAAAGTACTGTGGCTTAATAGGGTACCTGGACAGCAACTGAGATAAAGAAATAACACATAAGCCATCCTCAGTCTAGTCCATTTAACTGGTGGCCACTGGCCTTGATGGAGACTGCAGTCCCAATAGGAATCTACTCAGTCCAAGCTGACAGACAACACAATGCTAACACATCTGCTTCTATGAGCATATCTGAAAACAAAAACAAAAAAATAATATATCCACTCTGACCAGCTGGGCCAAGTGCTCTTAACTCGTAGACAGCAGCCATCATATGACATGATATCTTTAGCTGGTTCAAGTGCTTACATGAAGCCTCCATCTGTGAAGAAGCTGTCATCCTCCCACTCCCCGAGCCTGCTCACCCCCGCCACATGTCTTGGTTCAGATGACTGGGGTTGGGGGGCGCAGCAACACCTTGCCCTGCCCACCTGGCCTACCCCAAGGCTGCGCTTTGTAGCAGAAGATTTGGGCTCTTTCCCTGAGCTCTGTCCAGGCCGGCCTCACACTGCCTGGGAAGGGGAGTGCAACTCACAGTGAGGAACGGGTGCCTGGTGTTCTGGAGGACCCGGCTCTCGGTGACCGTGTGAGCGACTTCATCCTGCAGACAGACTGCGGGTGAGGGGCTGGTGGGCAACACCCTGCCTGCCCCCCGACCCCGACCTTAGGAATGGGATCAAGGCCTTGTGAGATACAATTCCACTCCCAGCCATAAATACAGAAACAGTGACAGGAGTGGAACATGAGTGCCTGCGAGCCCTCAGCAAAGAACAGACCCAGGTGAGGATCATCAGTGGCTCTCAAAGCCACAAGTGAAAAGTCAACAGGAATGTCACAATGAGGGAGAGGGGGCCAGGCTGCTAGGCGCAAGCCACCTGTGACACCCCTGCAGGAGAGACAGACATCACAAGAGCCCCGAGGTGCCGCCACAGGCTGTGGGAAGCCCCACCTAGAAAGCGTTCTTGCCCAAAGAAGGAACTGAACCTAATGAAGCCCTACACGGCAAAGCAGTGCTTCTCAGGGTGCGGTCCCCACACTGGCCACATCAGCAGCTGCCTGCGAACTGGCAGCAATGCAAATTCCTGGGACCTACCCACAGGCCCACAGAGTCAGAAACTTGGGGTGGGCCCAGCACTGTCTCACAAGCCCTATGGGCGACTCTAATTCAGGTTCGAGTTTGGTACCTGACTGTACAGGAGAACCACCAGGAGAAGTTCCAAAACTCTGGAGCCACCTGCAGCAACTTCAACACGGGCTCTCCCTGGGGCAAGTGTATCCCCAGGGGACACCTGAGAAGGTCTAAAGTCTTTTCTTTTTCTTTTTTAGTTGGGGGTCTGGCTCTGTCACCCAGGCTGGAGTGCAGTGGCATAAACATGGGTCACCTCCCACTTCAGCCTCCTGAGCAGCATAGAGGCAGGGGGCTCATTTTGTTGCCCAGGCTGGTCTTGAACTCCTGGGCTCAAGCAATCCTCCCACCTCAGCCTTCTAAAGTGCTGGGATTTTAGCCGTGAGCCACAGCACTCGGCCCAAATGTCACTTTTGATTGTCACAACTTGGGGAGCCACTATTGGCTTTAGGGGGTAGAAGCCAGGGGTGCTGCTAAAACCCTACAATGCACAGGGCTGCCCCCACAGCACAGAACAATCTGTCCCAAAATGTCAACAACGCTGGGGCTGCGGAATGCCGCCTTAGGCCCAATCATTGCATCAGGAATGAACGGTTCATTTTGTGGGCTCTCATGGCAGCACCTCATGATTAGATTCTTCACAGTCTTCATCTGTTGAGACACGTATTCGAGTATGTATGAGTGGAGTGATGTGACGTCTAGCACAGGCCTTCAAGTATTCCAGAGCAATAGGGGCAGGCGGAGCTAAGGAAACAAGGCTGGCTACATGCTGACAACCGGTGAAACTGGACTATGGCTACATGGCGGTCCGCAATATTGATTTTCTTTTTACATTTCTGAATATGTTTGGAATCTTCCATCACAAAAACTTCAAATAAGGGGAAAAAACAGAATTCCATTTCTGGCCCGGCTTCCAACTGAGACACCCTGAGCAGAGCCCCGGCCTCCCCAAAGGGACGTCCTCGCAGCCTTAAGAGGCCTCGGCCTCCCTCGATAGTACCTGCTGGGTGAGGCCCCAAGGCTCTCTCTCTACAGTCACCCCCAGCCCCTACCAGAGGGTGGAGGTGGGGACTCAGAGGATGGAGTCCAGTGAGGATGGAATTTGTGGGGGAAATAAGCCCCGCCCATGGCAGCAGACAGCGTGGGTAAGCGTCCATGCTTCAGGGTCAGGCTCCAAACCACAGCCCCCACAGAGGCCGGCAAGCGCAGTCCCAGGGCACGCACCTTGGCAATGATGACTTCCTTCCGCAGGATCTTCATGGCGTAGTAGCGGCCAGTGGCCTTCTCCCGCACCAGGATGACTTTGCCAAAGGTTCCCTTGCCAAGGAGTTTGAGATAGTCGAAGTCATTCATGGTCTGCCAGGGACAGGGAGAGTGGGGGCAGTCAATGCCTGGCTCATGGCCCGTGGGAGGAAATTTTAACAAAAGAAAGAGGAAAACTAAAAGACACTGTTGCCAAACGGCTTAGGCTGGAGCAGGAAGGGAGGCTCTGGGCAGCAACCATGTGTTCCGAAGTGGCCTTCAGACCAGGCTCTCCCAGGGACAGGGCCTTGGGAGGACTGGGCTCTGACGTGGGGGTAGCCAGGTCTTCACCTCGTCTCAGGACAAAGCTGCAAAGGGTCCACCCTGGGTTGCTCCCTCCTCCACGGGCACGGAGCAGCCCCTGGGGCACCTGCCACCTGAAATCACCCCACCCTGCAGGGCAGGCCTGTCGTCTCACAGCTGAGCCCCCTGAACTGTATGGAAACCAAAGTGATCAGGGCCAACACTGGGGGTGGGGGCATCACAGGCTGGCAGCCCCACCCCTGCTCCCAGTGCTTACCACTTTGGCCCGTGCCTTGCTGACCGCCACTTCCATCTCCTCGGCCACAGAGGAGTCACTGGGGGAGCCACACTTGTAGTCCATGGGGTCCTCGCCCAGGGCCCGCTGCTTGAGGCTGTTGGCGACCATCTGGATGGCCCGCATCCACTCCTCCCTGTGCAGGGACACACGTGAGTCCCAGGAGTCAGGAGTCCTGGGCCTCGGAGTCGAAGGGCTGAGTGACACCTCCCAGCCACCCCCTGCTGGAGGTGATCAAATGACTGTATACCCATGGGAATTTGGGCAAGATCCCTATGAGCCACAGAGCGCTGAAGGGACCCGAGTGAAATTTCACAGACTCCTGACTGTGATCGTGAGGAGAGGGTAAGCATGGAATACAAAGAGAGATCAATTTCCCTCAAGTGACTCAGCCTGCGGACCAGTCTAAGGCAGGCAGTAGAGAAATGATCAAAGAAGAGTGACCCTCTCTTTTCACGGCCCCTTGAAAATGAGCCAGCACGCTGGGCCTTGAACAAGGGAGAGACAGTGCTCCCGTGAATTCTTCGGAACAAACGACAAGCCCAAGTTTATAAGTTACCGATGTTCTGTAAAGGAAAACCAAGAGTAAGAGGCAGCATTCATTAGCCAACGCCGCTGAAGACATTACAAGGCAAGAGCTGGCCTACAGGACTCCCTGGAGGGGACACTCCGCTGGGAGCAGGGAGTATGCATGGCAGGGACAGAGGTCCTGGCAGCCCAGGGGTGTACAGGAGAGAAGCTGGTGGACAGGAAGCAGGTCCCAGCAGAAGGGAGCCTGGTTTAAGAAAAGTCAACCAGAGGCCAAGCACTGTGGCTCACACCTGTAATCCCAGCATTTTGGGAGGCTGAGGTGGACCCAGTGCTTCAGCCCAAGAGTTCAAGACCAGCTTAGGCAACAAAGCAAGACCAATCTCTTAAAAAGTTTTTACAAAACAAAAATTAAAAAATAAAGAACAGGCTGGGCATGGTGGTTCACACCTGTAATCCCAGCACTTTGGGAGGCCAAGGTGGGCAGATCATGACGTCAGGAGTTCGAGACCAGCCTGGCCCACATAGTGAAACCCGTCTCTACTAAAAATACAAAAAATTAGCCGGGAGTGGTGGTGGGCACCTGTAATCCCAGCTACTCAGGAGGCTGAGGCAGGAGAATTGCTTGGACCTGGGAGGCAGAGGTTGCAGTGAGCCAAGATCGCACCACTGCACTCCAACCCAGGCAACGGAGCAAGACTTTGTCTCAAAAAAATACATAATAAATAAATAAAGAACAATAAACTAGTTCTGCCACTCATTGTTTAGAACTTTTGGGGAAAGGGCCGGGCATGGTGGCTCATGCCTGTAATCCCAGCACTTTGGAAGGCCAAGGCAGGTGAATCACAAAGTCAGGAGATCGAGACCATCCTGACCAACATGGTGAAACTTCATCTCTACTAAAAAAAAAAATTTACAAAAATTAGCTGGGAGTGGTGGCGCACGCCTGTAGTCTCAGCTACTCAGGAGGCTGAGGCAGGAGAATCGCTTGAACCTGGGAGGCAGAGATTGCAGTGAGCAGAGATCAAGCCACTGTACTCCAGCTTGGTGACAGAGCCAGACTCTGTCTCAAAAATAAATAAATAAAGCCGGGTGTGGTGGCTCAAGCCTGTAATCCCAGCACTTTGGGAGGCCGAGGCGGGTGGATCACGAGGTCAAGAGATCGAGATCATCCTGGTCAACATGGTGAAGCCCCGTCTTTACTAAAAATACAGAAAATTAGCTGGGCATGGTGGCGCATGCCTGTAATCCCAGCTACTCAGGAGGCTGAGGCAGGAGAATTGCCTGAACCCAGGAGGCAGAGGTTGCGGTGAGTCGAGATCGCGCTATTGTACTCCAGCCTGGGTAACGAGAGCGAAACTCCGTCTCAAAAAAAAAATAAATAAATAAATAAATAAATAGCCGGGCACAGTGGCTCACACCTGTAATCCCAGCACTTTGGGAGGCTGAGGTGGGTGAATCACCTGAGGTCAAGAGTTCGAGACCAGCCTGGCCAACATAGTGAAACCCTGTCTCTACTAAAAACACAAAACATTATCTGGGCGTGGTGGCAGGCACCTGTAATCCCAGCTACTAGGGAGGCTGAGGCAGGAGGCTGAGGCAGGAGGATGGCTTACATCCAGAAGTTTGAGACCAGCCTAGGCAACATGGATGCCCAGGCAACATGGATGCCCATTTTGTAGAGACCAAAGATAAAAAGTTAGCCAGGTGTGGTGGCACATGCCTACGATCCCAGCTACTCACGGGGCTAAGGTGAGGGAACAGCTTGAGCCCAGGAGGTGGAGGCTGCAGTGAGCCATGATCATGCCATTGCACTCAGCAAAAAAAAAAGAATTTTCTTTGGAGACTTACAAACTGTTCTGCCTAATAAGTGAAAATGACCAGAGACCAAAATGAAAAAAATATTAGGCTAAATGACACCAAATTGTCCACATCCCCCATTTTTGACCATACCGCAATTAGGTGTTTTCAACCCAATGCATTTTGAACCCCCTGTGTTCAGATGACCCATAGGAAAAGTAAAATCTTCACTAAGAGTGAGAAAATTCAAAGAGTGCAAGTAGACAACCTCCCAAACTCCAGTGACTGAAATAAGCCACAGGGAGTGCAGCCAGCTCGAAAGGAGCCAAGAACAGTCCAGCCCTTCTCCCGCATCTTCCAGGATGGCCCCCACCCCAGGTCAGCAGGGAACAAGTGGCTGGGACTGGGCTTCAAAATCCAAGCCGGGACACCCTGCTGGGCTGTTCTCCCGTCTGTTTTCCTTGTTTATCACGAGAAGTTACTTCTATTTCCATCCATCACACCACGCACCCTTTTCCACATTTGACACTGCTGGAATGCAGATGCAGCTCACAGGTGGGGCCTGTCTTCATTTAACTGGGCACTATTTTTCTTGGCACTATATGAAATATGGTGCCTCCCCGATGACAGTGCCTTCGATCTGGTGAACTATATGACAGCAGTGCTTAAACACACAGGCTGTTGTGAGGCGGAATGCCTGTGAAACGTCTATGCCATGAGGCATTCCACAGCTGGGGGAAATACAGGCGGGTTCTGCATGCTGACTTGGGATGACCTGAGACCTCTTGAGAAAAAGCAAGGTGCAGGGCCAAGGGAGGTGACTCGCTCCTGTAATCACTGCATTTTGGGACGCAGAGGCAGGAGGATTGCTAGAGCCTAGGAATTCCAGACCAGCCTGGACAACACAGGAAGACCCCACCTCCATAAAAAATTTCAAAATTAAGCAAGGTGAAAAACAGGCTGGGCGCGGTGGCTCACGCCTGTAATCCCAGCACTTTGGGAGGCTGAGGTGGGTGAATCACGAGGTCCAAAAATCAAGACCATTCTGGCCAACATGGTGAAACCCCATCTCTACTAAAAATACAAAAATTAGCTGGGCATGGTGGCGGGTGCCTGTAATCCCAGCTACTCAGGAGGCTGAGGCAGGAGAATCATTTGAACCCGGGAGGTGGAGGTGAGCAGTGAATGAGCCACTATACTCCAGCCTGGTGACAGAGCGAGACTCCGTCTCAAAAAAAAAAAAAGAAGAAGAGAAAAGAAAGTTGGGAGGCCGAGGCGGGCGGATCACAAGGTCAGGAGTTAAATACCAGCCTGACCAACATAGTGAAACCCCGTCTCTACTAAAAATACAAAAATTAGCTGGGTGTGGTGGCGGGCGCCTGTAATCCCAGCTACTCAGGAGGTTGAGGCAGGAGAATTGCTTGAACCTCGGAGGCGGAGGTTGCAGTGAGCTGAGATTGTGCCCCTGCACTCCAGCCTGGGTGACAGAACAAGACTCTGTCTCAAAAAAAAAAAAAAAAAAAAAAAAAGGAAAAGAAAGAAAGGTGGTGCTACTGAGTTAGAAAATAATGAATTTCTGCAGACAGGTGCTCACATAAACACAAACATCTCCAGAAGAGAAGTCATGACCCAGGAGCCCTGCCTGCCTCCAGTGAGGGGAACTGGGAGTCGAGGGAAAGAAACAGCCCCTACTCACAACTGGGAACCCCTCGTTTATCATCAACCACCCCCACCCCCGCCCATTACGAAGGAGGAACTGAGGCACAGATTAAAAACCTGAATTCCAGAAAAACAGCAGTTGCTCCAGGCCTGACAGCTGGAATCACAAAAGGCCTGTGGCCTCTCCCAGAGCCAATGGGCAGGGCAGTTCTCTACGAGCCCCATGGCTTGCTGAACCAAGCAGCAACTAAGCTCAAAGGTCCAGTGAGTACACATGAGGCTCTGCCTTCTCAAACCAGCTACACTCACACGAGACCATGCTTTGTAAGACAAACGTGCAAATACGGTGCCATGCTTTGTAAGATAGATGCATACGCGTTAAGTGCTGGCATGATGTCCTCCCTACCTACCCAGTGACTGGAGTCCCCATAACCCATCTATGTCCACCCCACAGAGGCAAAGATTTCTACCTGTTTTGAACATGCTTCTGCCCCCAGAACTCATGGTGGCTACTCGGCAGATACTTGGGTAACAAATGAGCGAGGCAGCCAAAGTCCAAGTGGGCCCAGAGCCAGGGCGCAGCAAGGCCCAGTGCGGACCCGGGCAGAGCACATACTGAGCCCTGGTGCGTGCCCAGGCAGAACGGTGCTGGCTTCCGTACTCCCTGACCCAACGTCTCAAGCCAGCATTTCTCAACTTGATTTAACCCATGCCCCCTTTGGAACAATAAACAGCCTGATTCCCAAACGCTACACTAATATTCCTGTTTTTCAAAAGACGGGGGGTGGGGGAGGGGCAGGAGCAGATTCCAGGACTTTTCTTTTTTTGAAATGAAGTCTCACTCGCTCTGTCGCCAGGCTGGAGTGCAGTGGCACGATCTCGGCTCACTGCAACCTCCACCTCTCAGGTTCAAGTGATTGTCCTGCCTGAGCCTCCTAAGTAGCGGGGACTACAGGTGCGTGCCACCACGCCCGGCTAATTTTGTATTTTTAGTAGAGACAGGGTTTCACTATGTTGGCCAGGATGGTCTCGATCTTTTGATCTCATGATCCGCCTGCCTCAGCCTCCCAAAGTGCTGGGATTACAGGCATGAGCCACTGTGCCCCACCTTCCATGACACGCTTTATCAGACATAGTTGTCCTCTCACA